TAGATTTGTAGCTTTAGTTTGCTGAAAGTATTCAGATTTGTAGCATTAGTACTCAGATTGCATAGATTTGTAGCGTTATTTTGCTATAAGAGCTCAGAGTTTCATCATCTCTTTATATATATATATAATTCTGAATACACCTGTACTCCTGATCTATTGTCATCCAGGCATTATTACCATTAAAAGCGGAGAAGCCTTACGTCACATCACAGCAAGGAAGATTCGCATGTTTATTATCATAATCTACTAGTGTTACACACGATGAAGAAAAAAGAAACAAGTCTTTTTAATGAAAATAATTTCTTTTATCTATTGTAATCTCTCATAATTACTATCCGTCGAATACAATACGTTTCTACCGACTTCATTTACTTTTATGATCATAAAGGGAAAATTTGCTATAGATTTTCTTTGAAATAGCTCAATTAATATCAGATGAAACACCAAGTAAATTTGTTCTTAAGATTTTAATTAGGTACATTGTGTGATTAAAAGCTTCAAGGACATTTTACTTTACTGATCGAGGTTTTAAAAACATAACTATTCTTTCAGCCTAGTCATCTAGTACATCCTTCTGGATGATGTATACAGAAAGTAAACGTGCATAAGATCGACAGAATGTATAGACTACCATAGTCAAAATATAATTTGTAAGAATATACATAACGTGTTTATACAAAAGTACATATGAATGAGATGGACAGATAATGTTGCTGCCATAAATTCATAGTCAAGCTATTCTTTCAGCCTAGTCACCTGGTACATCCTTTTGGATGATGTACAGTGTGTAAGATGTAAAAATGTACAGCTTACCACAATAACATGTCAGATAATATAAAATTTGTAAGAATATACATAGTATACAAATCGACAAATTATGTTTCTGCCAACATGTTCATGGCCACAAGTTCAATAAGTTACCAAAGTTTAAATAACATGTAACTCAACAGATATACAATTTGTAAGCTGTTATCATTCCCATGGCCACAAGTTACCACAATTTAAATAAGATGTAGCTCAATATGTCAGATATACAATGTGTAAGAATATAAATGATATACACAAGTACATATTTATGTATATTATGTCTTATTATGTTGTTGGTCAAGATTATGTTGCTGTCATCATTCCCATGGCCACAAGTTACCACAATTTAAATAAGATGTAGCTCAATATGTCAGATATACAATTTTTAAGAATATAAATTATATACACAAGTACATACTTATGTTTATTATGTCTGATTATGTTGTTGATCAAGATTATGTTGCTCAATATGTCAGATATACAATGTGTAAGAATATAAATGATATACACAAGTACATATTTATGTTTATTATGTCTGATTATGTTGTTGATAAAGATTATGTTGCTGCTAACATGTCTTGTTTGCATCAAAATGTTCCAATATTCATATTGGATGTAAATCATTATGATGATGACGATCAGAAAGAACATTGTAATATTGAATAGATGTAGTATTCATAAATTTAACATAACGTTATGTTGCCTGGTCTGGGATACAGACTTCCTAAATAGCCAAGTGTGTACATTAACCGAGTAAATTAAAGTCGAGCAATGATATTTGTGCACGCCTGGGTTTCGATTCAAATCTTACACACAAACAGTCTACAGTGTATTTTATATTTGTAGAAAAACTTCAGAGTAAACTGAAAATGTCTGGTTTGTATAGTTTACTTACTATTCATTCATCATTCCATCCATAAATAACAGTAAACCGTGTCTTTCGTAACCGGATATGAACAAATATCTCTGCTCGACTGTAAACTGACAATATTTTTAATCGAACCCGGATGTGCACTTTGCTCGACCATACTAGCATATTCTTTGCAACAAATTGAGGGGGTGGTATAGCTAATTACACAAACAATTTTCGCAACCTTCACAAAACGTCACCTGAAACCATAATTGCGAAGGACAGATATATCGATATCGAGCAATATTACAATAATGGTGGTAATGGCAGCTGTGTATGATAATGTCTGTTATTATAAAAGTCGATTTACTGGAACTACTTTACCTAGTACTTAAATTATGATATAGACCACTTGTCACATTCGTCTCAGAAATAGGTTAGTGGAATTTGCGAAGGCCGTTGAATCAATAGATCCTTTAGATCTCGATTCTAAACCTTTTGCACTTCGACGGGGTCCTAAAATTAAGAGTTTTGCAGTGGATTCTAGCCGAATTGTTGCTGGTAAACATAGAATTTTGATTAACCTGATTATTATACTTAACCATTTTCTTCGAAGGCCATTAAATCATTAGATTCTGAAATTCTGATTCCCCAACCTTTTACATTTTCGCCATAGACTACCACTTTGGCCGATGTGCCCAAAAATGAAGAACCACAGATTTGCAATGGATTCTTGAAGAATTGTTGCTTGTTTCACATAGATATCTTGATAAACCTGATCAACATAACTCCTCAGGTACGCCCACCATTCACTTGGAATCCGAGAGGGGTAAAACCTAGGCTTTTAATCAAAGCGATGGTTTACCATAGTTGAATGATATTAACCATCTCAATAAATTCTGACAATTTCTGGCGATAGTTGATTTTTAGCTGGAAGAATTACTACAGGAACTACAACAATCGCGATAAAGTGAATATAAGCACGAGTTCGACCAACACCATTAACCATTATGATGGAGGAAGTCATCGTAAAACACATATTTCCCTCTTTCAGTCACTGTGAATTCAGTGTACTTCAACAGTAATTTACAACAACTCAATATTGTTTGCTCTTAAAGGGGGTTGGGAGGGAGGTATTCCGCTTTTTTCTCAGAAGTTTTCATAATCAAAAATATTTGTTAAGTATGCTTTTTATATCTATGTATCTTCGTAATCAAACTGAATTTGTTCTGAAAGGGTAAATTTAAAACTAGTTGTTAACTAAGCAGTTTGACCTATTTTAGGTGTTAAGCTTTATAATGGCTAGATATTATTAGTTGAAACCTTTACAATACGTAAGAGACATATTTCTCTACAATTAGGGGTTTATTTAACTAAAATCCGTGCAGTAGTTTTCTAACATTCTTCAAAAAGCGAACTTAAAAAACCTTACGTAATGTATTTAAACAATTTGGCGTTTAAAAATTAACGGCTTGATTTTTTGAGTCACAACTTTCAGATACGTTACAGGGCACATTTTTTAGATGTTGGTGTATAGTTTTCACGAATTTGAGCCAAATAAATTTTTTAACTACAAAAAAAGTGGAATGCCCCATACTAGGGACACTATGATTTACTCCTTTATTTTGTCACCGGTCGTTGCATATAGCATGTACCTTATTATATAGCAAAAATGACTTACATCATTAGATATGCTATGTTCGTGTTATATTGAAATAAGCAAGGGAGTAACCCACCCTTCATCTTTGTGTTGAGAATTATTAGTACTTGATCGATCCACTTTGTTATGCAAAATTTTCGCCGCTTAGTTATTTCTGGAACATCATCAGAAGAACTAATTTGTTCTAAAGAGGGATTAGGACATCAAAGCAATGTGATTTCTATAACTTTTCTATCGTTTTAGACGAAGTTTTCAGTGTAAATAGTGGAAGATTAATTTCATACTCTTTGCCGGAAGAAATGACCGATATTTGTATCTTTTTTGGTGCTTTTAAGAATTATTTTCTATGGTCAGAAAGGTTGTGAATGGATGATCAAAACTCCCACAGACGAAATGAATTATGTCTTAGATGTCCATATGAAAAGGTTTTGACGTGAATACGATATTTATGATGTCCTTGAGGTATTGTACTCTTCTCTTTTGAATGGTATCAGTATGAATTTTTGATTTCATTAATGGTTGGGTTGGATTGGATTGGGTAAAGCTCACACAAATGTCTGACGTAAGTGAAGGTGCAGTTTACTTTTATTTTCATGTCAGTGCCGGTCGGTCAATCCGAGTGCTGTCTTCTGTCGACCGGCGCCGACCACCGTGGCTAGAACCCTGGTTTCAATGCCTTTCGGAAACCTAGCCACAAACTTAGGGCGAAGGACTTGACATTTCAATTAATTGAGAAATTTCAATAACTGTCTACTGTACAAGGCTGAAAAGCACCAGAAACAGTTGAAACTCAGCACTCAAGGTAATTACCACCCAGTGATTGACGGAACTTAACATCAAGTAGATATTTAAATGTTTCCTTCATGTACTTCACTGTAATTGATTTCGCTTCATGCGTTAATCATTACATTTGAATAATTTATCAATTTCAATTAAAGGGAGAGAATTTCATTAATTGTATATGATTTTCCACAATTAAACGGCGGGATTATATTTTTATGGGAACACTATTACCAGTGCTTCTCAGCAGGATGGGAACTGGAAGACCATGGAGGGGTAAAATATTGCCAGAAGGGAAATGGGGAGGAATCTACGGTTGTCATCTCCTACCACGTGGTGGATTGTGGGTTCAGCATGGCGAATGATATACTCAAAAAGAAACGTGGTTTGTTGAAGATACTAAGCAGGTGATCTACGACTGAAATCGTACGTCACCAATGACATACAGAAAATCGTGAACGAACATTCAGCCCAAGGGACATTTTGAACTATCTCTACATGTGGAGGAGGATTTATATATTCATTCATGGTTAATCTTTGAATACATTTTTCAAGTGAAATACGTTTCAAAATGACTGATTTTTTGGGTAGGAATAGATTTGGAAGAACTCTTTCGGAGAGGAATGATACAATTTTACATTTTTTACCATTAAACCCTTAATGGTCGTTTGAATGCCTGCTTTGCCTATGCATCTTAATAGGATCCAACCCAATTGTATCCTAAAGACGTCATAGTACACATTTTACTATACTGTAGCCAGACTCAATTGTTCAGGTGTCAATGGGGTTTAGTATAAGTTTCATTTACAATTTATAGTAGGAGGGGAAATTGCTCCTCCTTGTAGCTGTGGGCCTCCTCATTAATCATAGTTGCACTCTTGCATTGAATTATGACAACTCACATACAGAAGGTTAAAAATTTATTAGAAATATGGCAGTATAATTCAGTTAGTAACATTTGATATGTCAAACGGAAATTATATTAAAAGAAGTATTTCACAATGATTAACTCTAAAAAAATTTCAAACGTAAAATATACAAAAAGTTCACGCTAAAAATAAATTCATTGACATTTATATAAAAAAAAAACACTAAGATGATCATGTCTGGAATATTTCAAATGACAATTCTTCGGATCCTTATATCATTTAAAAACGTTCATTTGAGTTAAATAAAACAAGCATGACCTCAAAATATAAAATCTGTTACAGGTCATGTAGTTAAGCAACAAGCTTAGGGTGAAAATATACATTTATCTAAAATATTTTAATTCATCTACTATGGACGGTTCGTCAAGAATTTTTCATCTGAAACATTTGTAATCCTTGTTGGAGTACCGAATTTTTCATTCCATCAGCGGCATGAACACAAGTTACTCCTAAAATTAAAACAAAACGGCGTTCAGTACGGTTCAATATTTGGTTAAAAAAAACTGAATATGTTTGTTAAAAAAAGCAATTGACAATTATATTTTTAACTTGATGGTATCAGTAAATCCTATCAGTTAACAGAGGTTTGCAATGCTCAAAGCTGCAAATAGGCGTTACGTGTTGTACCTTACCTTATAGCCTATAGTTTCGTGAATATAGATTGAGTCTTACCTAGTGCTCCAACCTCAACAATATTTCTATGTTCATCATCAAAGAATAACATGTCTTTGTGGGCCACGCCACTGTTGCTCTGAAATCTGTATAAAATCAAAACTCATAGACAAGGAGAGGTTCTAATGGTTTGCTTTTACATTATTGAGTATTTAAAGGTTTAGAAAGAAACTTTCATATCGATATCAAGTATCGTATACATGAATGGGGTCATTAACAAGCTTCCTTGGCGTTTATGGTAGAGTTGGCAGAAGGTGATCTGAACAGAAAGCTGGCTTTGTTTCTCATTTCCATCTTTCCAGCAAGAACCAGGATGGTCATTGACCAAATTTATTTTGACTGTCGGTAGACCTAGACTAGATATACGTATGTATGTCAGTTTCCTTCTTGCGATAGCTCACTCTTGCAAATCCGAACAGACCATTTTACAGAATGGCTAGGTATAGATTGCAATATCACTACCAGCAAATTTTGTTTTTCAAAACTTATCTGTCGGTGGTAGATGCCTTTTCAATTCCTTATTCATAATTTTCATAAAATTGAGTATTTTAAAAAATAATTTCACACGAGGAAACCTGGAGGAATGTTTACTTAAACTTACTTCTTAAAATGTGCAATTTTACTACCAGGATATATCTCTTTATATTTAAGATATTTATCCCATTTAAACAAGCTGACTAAACTGTTAGCTTCTGTTATACTACCAGTTCTACAAATGAAGACTAAATACAGACATGGCATGAAATGCTAAACTAGGTTGGTCATACAGGCTTCCAATTTTTGATGTAAAATTATTAGAGATTATGTGTGCTGACCAATTCATGTCATAAGAACTTATATACGATGTACCTGTATGGAGGAAAGCGTCAAGTGTGTCGGGTAGGACAATACACCAAGGTCTCAGATGGAAATCTATTAAGAAGGATAGTGCCTCCGTCCTAAAATATTTTCAAATATGGCAAAATGCATGATATTGACTTCCTCTACTCATCGACCCAGAGTACGTAAACATCTTTCACTTCAATCAACCTACCGTGATGCTACGGCTAGTGTATAGCCCTCAGAATGTAATTTTTGTAACATAGCCGGGACATCTGGGTAATATTTAACACGTTTTCCACTCTTATCATACACTTTACCATCACTACAGCAAAATATACAATTCAATATCATGGAATATAATATTGATATTCTTAATTCTCTATGTTTAGTTATAAAATAGCTTTACTGTTTGACTTTGACTATTGGTCAACCATTTGGACTCACTCCACTAATTCATTTGCCATCTCTTCCCATGTTAAAACACGAAATTCAACCTTCTATAACTTTTTCCAGAAATCTCGTTGAAAGCTTTCCAATATGTCGAATGAAAGCCTGACCAATTCTCAATGTCTCCTAAAAAATTCATTATATGATGACCATGAAAATTTTGAGCTACTAAAATTGAAAGTAGACTACTACCGGTTATACTCATCCGCTAGAGTTTGGCACTTCACAAAACGACTATTTTTAGAATTAGCCTTCCGCCTTTAAGTCTCTCATCATCTCACCAAATCTGAAAGATAATGCAATTTCAGACATCAAATTCCAAATCTAGACCAAATTTTACCCAAAAATAGGCAGGCAAAAACCCCAAAAGGGAGAGAGAAAGAAGATTTCTAAAAATAGCCTGGACTACATTCCTATACAATCATTTGCATAAAATGTTTTAGTGGAGTGAGTCCATTTGATATATAAAGGGAAATAACCGAGAACCATTTAGGTTCAATTAAACTGATAATACAAATCGTAAACAGAATGAAATCAAACTTTCGGTCTGTTTGCATGTAAGTAATATACGTTCCTATCTTACAAATCATTGTAGTGAGTTCAAAAGTAACTTCAGATAATGAAAATATGGTCAGGACATTAATATTCCTTTCTTACTTCTTCAATTTAACCGTTTTGGTACTATAGTTCCAGTGGCATAGCGATTTTGAGAGTAGAATAATTTTTCATTCTTTATGATCCGAGGGGGAGGGGGGCGGGGCATGACTCAAACCTTACTGCCTAAATACGCCATTGCACAGTTCATTATATATAGTAGTTTGTTTCATAAATGTACATAGGTAATCCGATTTCCTATACTTAATTGATTAAGTGAATTAACTTCTACATGCAAATTAAATCTAACCCTTAACATCAACCGAACATCAGAGATATTTGATCTGCATGTTATGGTTAGAGGCAAGTTCAAATTTATGAATAATTTTTGTTAAATTCACCCCGCATTCAATTACAATAAGTATCCCAGTAAGTGATCGTAATATATTGCCGTATCATTGGATTACAAAGTAGAAAAAAGTTCTTACCTTTGTTTTTTAAAAGGTGGCGTTACGTGTGTATCTACCCAAAATGGCCAGAGTGTATAATCTACAAAAATTGACACAAAACGGTACGTAGAAAAACAATTTAAACCTAAACAACACAATCCTAGGTACATAATAAACTATTTTCTTTAAAAATTAAATATGAACAGGAAATACCAGGCAAGAAACTTCCTTTTCCTCACTTTTGAACTTCTGAAAATGGTAACTGAATTTCAGCAACTGCTGCAGCAGTCCAGTTTCTTATTTGATACGTTCAGAGTGTCTGGTGACCAGTCCACTACCTACAAAGTATCGAACAGCTCTTTATGTAATCCCTGCTTACCCAAATCAAAAACTATCAGTTTAGGTCTTAAAGTCCCCGCCATTGTATGAGATAAATGCTGAATGGAAAGGAATAACACTTTCTGAAATAAAATTTATATAAAAATGTGAAGCATTTCATTACACTAAGTGGAAAATTAATTAGAGAATTGATCGGCGTCACAACCTATTATCGTCACAATCTGTTTGGTTTACCCTAAGGAATTGACATCAACAATACATTAAGTAACCCGGGTAATGACCAATAATTCAATACTAATGTGCGAACCTGTAAGAACATTTTGATTTAAAAAGATTGAACCTGTCGATGATGTATGAAGGTTAGAAAAATCTAAAACCAAACCGAAAGTGATGAAGCTTTAAGCAAATACATAATTATATCAGCAAATTAAACATTCGAATACATTACTATTAGGAGCACTGGGTAATTGAGATTCGTATCTCGACCCACCTTGAAAATAAAAGCAAAATTTACGTTGAGGAATAGGTCTTGAAAGTCTTAACAAACTATGTCACTACTCTTGATCTTCTTTCATATATCGTAGAGCCGGTAATAAACATCCTCATTGCGAAACTACCACACTTGTGTGTATAATATAGGCCACATAGTGAAACTGTACCCTTTTAATATAACCCTTTGTCATCCTTACAATAACAATACCGGCCTTACTGAAAAAGTGTGGCAATAGCTTTTTAACAGTTGAACAAAAGTATCAAACCGTTTTCTGCAATTGTAGGGAATCTTATAAACCTTTTTTTTCAACAAACATTATAGTCCTGTAGTACATTTCTCTACAAAATGCGATCACCCGAGTCTACTCGAGTAGCGAGTCAACACGCGAACTCCATTTTACTAATCGAGTTCAACACGTCAATATATTGTGTATATAGCTTTATCAGCTCAGCCAGAGTCCTTTATAACATGTCATTCAAGATCTACTCTTTGTAAATATAAAAGTACAGAATCCTTTCCAAATTCTCTGTAGATAAAACTGTTAAAATAATCTCACGGCTTTAACCGCCAATTTTCATCTAACCTTGTATCTTACATTCTGTATGCACTTGGTTTATAGTATCTTATTTCTATTCCCTAGCCTAGCCGTGAACTTCAAAGAGAGTGTAATTTATCGATTTAAAAGAAAGAAGGTCCAATGAACTGCTAATGTACGGATCTTCCTGTTAAAATGTTAATATGCTGTAAATATAAAAACGTGTATGTTATCACGTATATTTGTACCTATGTGGTCAGTTGTCCACCGCTGCAATTTACATGCACATAAGCATGGTCATATTACTCGTACATGTACGTCCTAGAGTTCTGCATTCTGGATCAGCTTTATACGAACAACTGACCGTTTTTCGCCCTAATGCTTCCTTTGCAGTAAATGTAATGTGTTCTTCAACTTGCATAACATCCTTCGTTCGACAACGTTGATAACCGGGTCGGAAAGCCTTAAAGAACTTAAAGAAAAGGTGAAATTGCAATTCCCAATCGTTACCAACACTGACGAGCTGACCTTACCATGACACCAAATAGGTTAACTTTCTCTTTGACTTGTCATGAAACAGATAAAGCGCTTTGGTCTTATATGAGAGGCCTTGAAAAAAATTCAAAGTAGTGCACCGACACGTTAATTTATTAGTTTCACTACAAATCAAACTAGTTTAAAAATTAGATATTCGAGAAGATTTTTATCTAGATAATGTCCACATGCCGAGTGAAATTGGGTGAAGAGTAATTTAATCTGATGGGTAGGGATGAAATTAGTCACAATATCCATGGTTGGATTTAAATTGGAAAACAAAAAATTTATTAATCAATCAGTTAAGATTATGATGCATTACTTATGTTTATTTTAGTTCATGCTACGAAGAAGTTGTTCATGGAGTGAAAATAATGACAAAACTACTGACAAATAGAAAGTTATGATTTTGTGTCCCCTCTTATTTTTTTATTATTATATCATGTACAGTATCAATCTGTATATCAAATGTTTGTTACCGATGAGTACACGAGGATGGCGTAGGCTGATTATGGATTTATTATTTGGTATTACATCGTGCTGGACTTCCATTTCCGGAATATACTTTCGTGTGCACAAAAGGCAATAACAGCCATCTTCTGGTCACTGGATCAGGAGTGTTATTACAGTATCTATGTCGTTCAATATGGTGCAAGATTCTCAAATTGGTAGACTGAGAGTTAATTGGCTGGCATCTTTTTGTGTCCTTGATGTGCCCGCTTGGCTTGACAAGCAGTTTTATAGTACATGTATATATTCTGTGCGAAATGTTCAATATTCATGATTCCATTTTTCCATTAAGGGTATGCGTTATTTATTTTGTAACTTTTCCAGAGCCAAAATCGTAGGTATTCGATATGGTTTCTACTGGTTCGATGACACACACACACGGATCCCAGAAGTTTCGATTTTTAACTCCGTTCAAAACCAGATTTCATTCGCCCTACATCTCGAAATAATGTTAGCGTTCTGTCTTAGATTAAAATAAATCAAAATGTAATTTGTCTGTGAGTTAAATTAAAACAAATTAGAATGGCTAAAGAGTGGCTAGAATAGTTTCAGAATAGTTCCTGCAACCCACGCATTCTGATTCCAGTTAATACTGTCACTTTCGATACTATCAAAAGTCGGAAGATTAGCCATGGAGCGTAAAATTGATCAAAGTCTTGACTGTATCAGGAGGGGGTTCAACTCTGTCAGGAATTCGGCTAATTAGCTTCTGAAAAGATATTTAGTCTGTTTCTCGACTTCGTCGCTGTTTTATACATTCGATCGTACATTTTATCTATGAAATCTAAGAAGGAATACATTAAGTGGTTTTTGATATGTTACTATATATTTTCTATTTTTACTCTATTTCATAAAACTTAGTTAAAAACTAAGAATGGCCGGTGAAATTCGACATTTCCAAGTGTTGGACTATGTCATTTTCGGACTTACGTTATCAATTTCTGCAGGAATTGGAATATTCTTTGCATTTAATCAGAAGACTACTCAGGATTTTCTCTTGGCTAGAAACAAAATGAAAGTTCTTCCTGTTGCTGTTTCTATTCTGGTGTCGTTCATGTCTGCCATTTTGATTTTGGGAATACCTGCTGAAATATACAAGGATGGAACACAATTCTACATGCAAGTATTCAGTACAATTGGAATAATAATATCTGCACTTGTATTTACACCATTGTTCTTTCCTTTACGTCTGACCAGTTCTTTTGAGGTAAGTTTGAAATATTTTCAATAACACAGTAATGTAATGATTGTACCTTTGTTACCATCAAATCCAGTATTTCTCATGTGACCATTTGAGACAAACGCATCTGGAGTTTTGATCTCATCAGATTAGTCACAGTTCGCATAAGCGAAACACTCATTTCAGAAAGTTAACGGATGGCCGAAGGTTCCAACTGCACACATTTTGGTTGTAGGTTGTTGGTTTGCTCATGTTGACTCGTTACAGTGCTTTGCTTCATCAGCTTTTTCTCGATGCCACAAGTTGCAAGCAGTTGTTAAATCCAAAATCTGCCCGTCAGAAGGTCGACCTCAACCCACATTACATAAATGTGACATATTTGTTACTTTATCCTGATAGAGATGATGAAATACATTAGAGAACCAAAAAGTTACTATGTTTTAACAACAGGAAGAACTCTCGATATTAACCAGCAATATCTTTACCGTATACAATCTAATATAAAATGCACTATGTCATGTCTGCTTCACTGCATGAACAATAGCGAGCTCACTTGCATTTGTAGAGCAATACACGAAGTTTTTTTCCACCTCGTATGGCGTTGGTCACTCAATTTCGCCCCAAATTAACTTTTGATAAAATTCAGAATTCTAACAAGCGATGTAACTTATGGTGCATATCAAATTGAACATTGCTTTAAACTAGAGATGATCTTTGTATGTCAATTTTTTAATTGTAGTATATATTGGACATTGGATGGTAAATACTATTTTGCTTTGTCATGTATTGTAGTGGACCCCTCTACATGCTGTAAATATCTTTTTATTAGCTTAATATGATAACGTGATATAATTGTATTTCCATAACTCAGTATATTTTTCAAGATGGTCAACGAGGATCTCCGTTTCGGAACATGGGACTATGTTGTATTCGGTCTTATGTTGGCAGTTTCTGCAGGAATCGGAATTTTCTTCGCATTCAATCAGAAGACAACCAAGGAATTTCTTCAAGCTAGCCGAAGCATGAGTGTTATACCAGTTTCTATTTCTATTCTGGTTTCCTTTATGTCGGCCATTTTGATTCTCGGCACTCCAGCAGAAATGTATATGGAGGGAACCCAGTTCTATTTGCAAGTGTTGAGTTCAAGTGGAGTAATAATATCTGCACTTGTATTTACACCTTTGTTATTTCCTTTAGGTCTAACCAGTTCTTTTGAGGTAAGTTTGAAATATTTCCCATAACACAGTTTCAAATGTTACGATTGTACCTTTGTTACCACCAATTACCACAGATTACTAGCAAATTCGATGGTCCGAAAATGATTTTTTGGGTTGATGGATTTCTCATGTCGACTCTTTCCGGTGCTTTATCAGATTCCCCTGGATGCCACAAGTCGACCTCAACCCACAGTATATAATGTGATATTCTTTTTTTTCACTTTATTCTGATCCCCAAAAGTAATCGATGTAACGGAATTTTCTCCTTGGCTCGTGCTTTCGCAATTTCAATTATATATATTGTTTTACAATAACTTTCACCACATTGAATACCATAATATAAAGTACCTTTATTACATTTCTAAAATGTACCATCTTAATGTAGGCGTTGGAGCCTCCTGACTTCACAGACATATTCCATTTATATCAGAAGATCCAATATACTTTATTCAATATCACCCCGTGATTTCCAAAAAAGAACAGCGAGGCACTTCCACCTTTCTTTTATGTCTCTTTTTACACTGAAACTGTTACTCACCAATATCTGCTATCAATATCTGCTATAACTACATCCTCCAGTTGCCACCACAGTAGTGTTTTGAACAAGCTGTCTCGCCAATGCCCTATCTAAGAAAATGACAATAATTAGTTTATCATGTGACCTTACATCGTACCAAGCATGCACTATGAACACCTGTCAACTAAATATAGAGATGATGAAATACATCAAAGAAATAAAATGTTACTATGTTTAAACAACAGGAACAACTAAAAGATATCAACCAGCAATATCTTCACCATATATTCACTTGAATATATTAACAAAACAAGCAAGCTAACGAAAAAACTTGCATTTGTAGAGCATTACACCTTCTTCCACTTCGTATTGCGTTGGTCACTCAATTTCGCCTAAATTAACATTTGATAAAATTAAGAATTCTCACCAGTAATGAACATTACTGTGGTACTTATCAAAATGAACATTGAGTTGTGATCTGTGTATGAAAAAATACGATTGACACGGGTTACTTCTTTAATTCGAAAGACTAATATCGAATATATCCTATCAAGGCCGTTTTGAGACAGGGTGGTAAATACAATTTTTCTCTTGTCATATATTGTAGAGGACCCTCCTGTTCCACATCTAAATGCTGTAAATCTCTTTTTATTACCTTAATCTGATAATGTGATATAACTTATTTTATTCTCATACTTCAATTCTGTTTTCAAGATGGTCAACGAGGATCTCCGTTTCGGAACATGGGACTATGTTGTATTTGGTCTCATGTTGGCAGTTTCTGCAGGAATCGGAATTTTCTTCGCATTCAATCAGAAGACAACCAAGGAATTTCTTCAAGCTAGCCGAAGCATGAGTGTTCTACCAGTTTCTATTTCTATTCTGGTTTCCTTTATGTCGGCCATTTTGATTCTCGGCACTCCAGCAGAAATGTATATGGAGGGAACCCAGTTCTATATGCGTGTTTTTGGAGGAAGTGGTGCATTTTTTGCTGGAATCATTTTTGTTCCTCTTTTCTTTCCATTGAAATTAACCAGTTCCTTTGAGGTAAGTGGAATAATAAATTTCTACCCTTTGCTTTCTCTTTGAAATCCATTCAGATAATATATATTATAATATGTATATAAACGTAATTTAAGAATAAATACATGAACGATTGTGGAAACTTCAACAATAGTAGCAATATCCACACGCACAAATCTGGGTTTTATTTAGTATGGGCAGATCATTAGCGTCACTGTTCAAGTCGCTTTAGATGTGAAAGAAATTTTATTTTTAACCAACCAACAATCAAATGAAGATTGCAATTGCAGCACCAGATGTTCACTACATACATACGTGGTGCATTCAGTAAGTATGGGTGGAATGGGACCTTTGGGAACGGCTGTTATTTGTTTATAATTGGTTGTTCAATTTGTTTTGTACAAAATATTCGAGCCATCCTCCTTTTATATCTAGCAAACTATCTGATGTGTCAATTTGATCAAGATAAATTAACGATGTTATCTTGTTGACTGTTCGTCATCTTAGATATTATATACATCATTGTTAAATACTGACATACATGGCGATATAAGTATTCTTATAATATACAAGATCTCAATGTCATGCTTAATTTATCCTATATCCTCGCAAACCTCGTATCCAGCTTTAGAAATCATCATATATTGTGCCAATAAAACCTTCACTTTGTGAATTTTACAACATACTTATTCATATGTAAAGTGTTAGTTTTATTACCCTAGCAAATCATGAGTATACGTACAAGTTGACAGTCAACCTCTCAAATCTGGTTGATTTGACCCTTCGAGGGGATTTTTGTAATGTTTTGAGTCATAGAAAAGAACATCTCTCATAGAGGTGCTCTAGGATGAAATGATCCAGGATTTGACTGTCTTTGGACATAGTGTGTTCTATGTTATAAAGTACTAGAGTTAAAACTGCTATCTAGGATTTCTTTCGGAAAGATTTTATCATTCAGAGACAGCAAAACATTATCAACACTGAAATAAACAGTTTACTTCTTAAGAATTATCCAAGATGTCGGAGGTCCGTAAGTTTGAAACATGGGATTATGTGGTGTTTGCTCTGATGCTTCTGGTCTCGGCATTCATCGGTATATTTTATGCTGTAAAAGCCAGGAAGAACACTTCGACGGGAGATTTCCTTATGGCCAGTCGTGGAATGAGCATTATTCCAGTAGCTGTCTCCATTCTGGTGTCCTTTATGTCCGCTATTTTAATTCTGGGAACCCCAGCTGAAATGTATACCGCAGGAACCCAGTATTTTGTATATTTGATTGGTATGTGTGCTGCTATAGTGATATCAGCTTTAGTATTTGTCCCCCTTCTCTATCCTCTAAAAATAACAAGTTCGTTTGAGGTGAGTAAAGAAATCAATTCTCCGTTTCAACCCTGAATTATATATACAGTAAAGCGTCAGTATGCAAATACGTAAAAGATTTCTAAAATTTGCAGTTTAGTTTTGGTTTTTGTCCTTAACAGCATTATTTTAGTCAAAATTTTCAGAATTAGTGATATTCCTCTACCATTTGAAGATTATTTTGCCTAAATTCGTACATAGGTTTTCAAAGCCAACCAAAACAAAGCGATTTCAGATCGTGATATGTGTCTTTCTATAGTTTTCATTGATTACAGAAATTAACTTACCACCTACTAATAAAATCAGACTGCTCTTTAATGTACTACATTTCTTCACATCATTGATCTCATGATGACTACCAACGCAAATCGGAATTCTAAGCGCACAATATGCCATGACACCGACTCTAGCTTTTTCATTTTTGCCCAGTCATTTTAGGTTATATAATATGCACAACGTTCTTCGGGCTAATAATCTATCAAATACATCGACCGTTTTTCCTGAAAAACTCGAGACGAATTTTCAAGACATGTTAATATTTGATATCCCTTTAGGATAAACTTGTAAAAACTTTCTATCAAATATTGGAGATTTCGACCTCAACATGATAGATTATGTTTAAAAAAGATATGTAGGCTGATGAACATGATAAATTATTATCACTTAACGATAAATGTTCTCATAAACATCCGGAATCATCTATGAAGTAAAAATCTTGTACAACCTTGACATACATAGAAAATTATCATTTGCGAGGTTGCTGTTAGTATGCAGTATATCACTTATATTTTTAAAAGTTTATTATAACACAACTTCACATTAACTGGGTGATGATGAACTGCATGCGTGACCCGAATCTTGTACACTGAAAATAAGGGACCTAATCTACAATAATATCTTACAAATTTACGTGATCTGCTTGTCTATTGGATACGAAAGAGTTGTACAATTGTCCAAAATTTGTACATCTGAAGAGGCAGAGAAGAAAGCAATGACTTTTGGGTCTCGATTCTAATATGGCATTTCAAATTTGGATGTCTAATGCACGAGGGCTTATAGCGTGCATTCGACACAATCCTGATCAAAACAAATACTTTTGTTAAAGAAACAAATCTTTCCGATATAGTACAATTGAGCAATCCCTATGATCTAATAGTTACGTGACCAGCAATGCAAAAGGTGTCACGTATGATGCTTTTACAGTCTTATTCCAATAAATCGGGGATTTTCTGCCAATCAGACATATACAGTGATGAGATTCCATTTCGTAAACAACGGCTAATTAAACGTATATATCTTTCAGTATCTGGAGAAACGATTCAATTCTAAAGCAGCTAAAGTTACTGGTACTCTGATTATGGTAGTCCAGCAGGTAATATCTAAAGGTTACTCTTTATGAGCATAAACTTATATCAAAGTGACGATAAATGTACTTTTTGTATTTATTAGAAATTATTCTTGTCTAAAGTAAACAATAACATGAACTCTTTTATTTCCAGATTCTGTATATGGGTATAGCATCCTTTGCTCCGTCCACAGCATTAGAAGCAGGTTTGTTCTTTTCATATTAAGACCGTGATTTTGTTTTCATTTCATCGTAGTTTTCTTGAGTTTAATTGGTATAATCGGTTTTATTTTCAGTCACGGGCTTTCCAGTATGGGCAACAATTATTACTGTTGGATTAGTTTCAACCTTTTATACATCGCTGGTATGTATCTTCATGATCAAGCCGTTATCTTTCCAGGCTGCTTTTCTTCTATCCAAAGTTGTTCAGACCTGGTATTTATTGCATACTGAAGGATTGCTCATCAATGCCCAGCTATTTTATTTAACTATACCAAACTTATTTTTCTATATTTTCTAGGGTGGAATGAAAGCTGTAGTATGGACTGACGTATTTCAATCTAGTGTTATGTTAGCTGGGTTGTTGGCTATAGTTATTCAGGTTTGTTGTCCAGATGTCACTTTGGACACAGCGTCCATAAGATGCTCTATTGTAGAGTAGTAAAACAAATATATGTTAAGACTATACATATACACTACATAGTGTATACAACGTATAATTTCTTAGCCGCAAAACTTAACCGGATGCGTCTTCATTACTGACCCAGCTAATATGGGTACAAAATCTCCCTACTGGTAAAAAAAGATCACGAAGAACACTCACCAAGAAGACAAGTTGCTATGCTGTTAAAAAATGGCATAGGGTTTCTTTACGTCCTTTCTGATATTTTAGGCATAGTCATAATATTTCACACCGTTATATACAGCATGCCAAGATTTCTGAATGTCCGAGGCCAAAAAGTTGATGATACAGATTCTTATGCACTAATTTGACATATGGAATGTATTATTTATATTATGATACAAGAAGATAGTGACCTATACGATTTATAAGCAGACACTCTATATCATGTCACTATCTAGCAATAATTTACAGTAGTATACTCTGCCCTCTTAACACAGATAGTATAAATCTAATGTAAAGTATCAAGATAATATAATAAAAATCGCGTAGAATTAATTATAGATTATATTAATCTTGTTAAAAGTACTTTAATGTTGATAACTACATCGTTGACGATGTACATGTATATTTCAATGGTCCATATCTCCGTTCCAGATCAGTAGCCTCTTCAAGAAACAACATAAGCATGCATAAGGTTATTTACTTAATGAGTCATGAGAAAATAAGCATTTCGTTTCTTTGTGTATCTGTTATTAGGTATAGGGTGAAAGCCGACAACGTGCCGACTCTTGGAAGCGGTCTGCCATGGAAATGTAGAGAAATTGAATTTTTTCTTCAGGGCTCGATAGTTGTTGGTGGTATGTCAGAAGTATGGTCTATCAATGATGCATGGGGTAGAATTGATTTTTTCGAGTAAGCACAATCCGTCCATTTTACTAAGGATGTTATATCCTAAAGTTAACACAACAGGATCAAGAAAATTAGAAATCAAAAGAGAAAAAAATGCTTGCCCTAACCAGTTGTGATAGCATATAAATATATTCGACCCACCCACGTTGTAAGTGAGAAATCATCTGTCAGGACGCTGATGGACACTGATAAGGCTATACTGATACAATACAGTTTTTCGATGAACCACTACAAGAATTATTCCTTTGGCATAAAACCATATGGGTCTTAAACACTAGGTGTCTAGTTTTACCAATCGCATTATTGGTTGAGTGTTTACACGATTCTGATCAATTATCTTTGCAGCTTCAATCCTGATCCAACACAACGTCATTCGTTTTGGTCATTGGTGGTAGGTGGTGCTATTGGATGGACCTCAACATATGGTGTTAATCAAGCCAGTGTTCAAAGATACTGTGCATTGCCAACTTTACAAAAGGCAAAAATGTATGTAGTTTGTGTATACGACGGGAAACTCTTTGTTATTGGGACAGCATCTTCAGATCCGCATGTCTTTCAGAATTATATCGCCGAGGATAATTTGAAGAGATGTCTCTCGCAACCTGTTTTAACATGAAAGAGGTTCCGATGAATGATAACGTGATCACACTCTGGACACTTTATGGCTCTCTGATATTCCTTTTCGAGGATCAGCATTGCTATGCTGTATACGAAAGTAACTTACTCACTATGAAAGCTGCTGAGAGCAGTTGGCGTTGTCACTTCGTCATGCTTCTCAGGCAAACCGAATTTACGTTCTTATGCTGCTAATGATGTTTTTCAGATCTGTGATGTTAAATGTGATAGGGGTTATTATTTTACTAACTTTGACAGCTCTAGCAGGAATTGTCGTATTTGCTTATTATGCTCAGAAGGGTTGTGATCCGTTATCTGCTGGGTACGTGAGCAACTCAAATCAAGTAAGCAATCAAACATTATTTAATACTTTTAATTTATCTTTTCACTATTACATATGATGAAGATTATTGAACTAATTGGTAAGACGATGTGACTCTTCCACGGGCAGCACTAAATGTTTACTGTTCATTTTGCTCATTACAGTTAATCCCGTATTTTGTTATGGAAGTTTTAGGATATCCGGGCTTACCAGGTCTTTTTATTTCATGTCTCTTTAGTGGTGCATTAAGGTACGTATAAATATTTATATTTAGCTGTTTCGGCCGATGATTTAATGGACTTACTTAATGCAAATATCTAGTGACTGTCGTGTTCGACAATACTCCGAAGAACTTAGCTCTAAGCTCTGGAGTTCAAATCCAACAACTTTGGGGAATAATAGTATTGTGGTAGGGTCATTTGGTATAATTTCTGAACGTCGATCCTTGAAGTGATTTCTCCATCTTCATAAACCCAATTCGGTGCATAAAAGTGTCTCTGTTCATTTTGAAGTCCAGTAGTATATAATGCTTATTCATAAGTTGTTCATACTCTGCACAAACATTGTATTCTCGTATGTTTCAGTACCATGTCGTCATGTCTCAACGCTCTAGCAGCAGTTACATGGGAAGATTTCATGAAGCCCTTCCCTTTCTTTTCCGAAATGCCAGAATCTCGAAAGACCCTTATAACTAAACTATTAGGTATATATATTCTTTTAATATTATATTTAGTATATACGGCATCACATGGGAAGATTTCATGCAGCTCCTTTCCATTATTCTCCGAAAATCCAGAATCTCAATACCATTTATAACTAAAATGTACATAAGTTCTCCTTGTACGGCACATCAGCCGCTTTGATAATAAGCCACAATGATTGTCATCTTTGTCTTTGTAGTATTACTATACGGGGGTGCTGGTATTGGTATGTCATTTATGGCTAAAAATCTTGGTGGTACAGTATTACAGGTTGGTGGGCTGAACATTTTTGTCAATATGCACTGCTGTGTACACTGATGGGGAATATTTAACAGAACCGGAACACACGAGTCCTCGGTTTATGGTTCACTCCACACGTTGGAACATCTAATCATGGGTTTATTTCCTTGTGAAGCTGAATATGTAGTTGAGTTGTTTTATTGTCTTATTTTCAGGCATCTCTTAGTTTTACTGGAGCAGCATCGGGTCCTCTTCTTGGTCTGTTTTGCTTAGGAGCTTTATTTAAATGGGCAAATTGGATTGTGAGTATCTTTTGCTCTACACCTTTCGTCGATAACTAAAATGGGCCACTCAAGTTCATCTTCAATTGCATTTGAAGTCTAATGTAACTCTTGACAGCTTATCGTAAAAGTCTCATCAATAAATCCAATGATTAACTCTTTGAGTGTCATTAAATCGTCTATCAAATCAGCAATGCCCCCTATGAAAAATCACTAATCTATGAATGAATATAGCTCTAATTAATAATTTTATGTTACAGGGAGCTGTTGTTGGTGGGATATTAGGGTTAATCTTGCCTCTGTGGATCAGCATAGGTGCCTATAGTGTTACAACCAGACCGTCAAGTCTTGCATTCCCAACAAATTCATGTAGCATCAGCAATTCATCAATAACCACGACAATGTCAACTATTAATTCCACCATCTTTGATATTACCACTCCTGGCTTTGAAGAACCGTAAGCGACCAATATTTACTATTTTATAATTTATAAACATTAATCTGGTATTTTTTTCTATTTTTCCTCTCTTTATGTGATAACATAAAACAAAAAAGTCGGATAGGTAATAGGACGTTATTAATGTCCGCAATGCACAAAAATAGGTTGGAAAACTTTGAGTCCATATAAGTATGGGGTGACATTACACCTTGATTCCAACTTTTACATTTCAGTACGGGCATTTTAAGGTTATATACCGTATCATACTTATGGTATCCGGCAATAGGTGCAGCTACAGTTGTTGTTGTGGGATTGATTATTAGTTTGGCCACAGGTGTGTATTATTCGTATATTATCAAACATCTACAGATATAAAATCATCGCACATTCTTATAATTACACCGTAAGAAAATTCATCAAGCATCCTAGACGTGTATCAGCTTCAATTGGAAAACAAATCCCCTTCCAATTGACAAAGCGTGGTATACCAGTTCAAATCCACACAATCATGTTGGTGACACTATGTATAATCAGAAACCAGTCCAGATCCCAAAACGGAAACTTTTATTAGCAAAGTGGAACCACTTCACAGGTCAAATGCAGTTTCTTATCAATACATTTAAATACTTAGATGAATTTTGTTTTCTCTTCCCACAGCGTCGTATGTAGAAGAACACGAGGTTGACCCTAAATATTTACTTCCCATTTTTGATCGACTGTGTTGTTGTTTACCACTCTCTTGGAGGAAACCATGCAGATGTGGAATACAATATCGAGATCCGGAGGTATCGTATTTTTTATGTTTTATATTTTTCTATGTTTGACAATACTTTACTTCTCTTTTTAAGGATCTACTTACTTCCCTTTATTTAACTAAAATACGTTTCACTTGAATTGTGAATCTACTTGAGAGGCATTGACGAGGCACTGAAATCTATAAAATTTGCTACTTTGTGGGTTGTACGGTTAGCTTGTTAAATACCTCTTTTCTGTGGAGTATAATAAAGAATCTTAAACTCTTTAATATGACTTTTAATTCCTTTTTAAAGGAGATAGAAGCCGAGAGTAATAAAGAGTTAATAGTTGATCCGCCGGAAAAAGATCCAAATCAATTTTCTAATATCAACGAAGAAAAGACTGTATACCACATGGGCAACCTTGGCAGTAATGGACTAGAAAACAATGGATACTTGAATGAAAAATCTAGTAATGGTTACCAGCTCTCAACGCATCTTTAGATATACGCCAAGTAATGACAGAAATGGGAATAAAAGGGATCAGAATTGTGATTACATAAAATTTCATGAAGGACTTATAATTAATTTTATTTTAATTTATAGAAATCCATATACATGTATTCAAAATGTAATATGCTTTTATATAGAAAAAAATTAAATAATTTTTAATTTGTATATATGTGCTCGTTGATGCCAAGATAACACTAGCTTTACCAAGCTAACCTTGTGTCACGAAAGTGCCATTTAAATTGTACAATATCGCTAGGAGGTAGTATGCATGGCGTAGAGATACTTAAAGACATTGAACGTTTGGTGCAATTGTGGTTCCATTTATCGCGGGATCAAACAGGCTAGTCAAAAAACGGTCAAAATCCGCTGCCTATACATCACTGGAATAGATCACATTAAAGCACTTTCAAGTTCTTCTGTCATTGTAATTCAAGTAAAGACCTGTCGACTTTATCGTGGATATGAACCGCTCTTCCGAACGTCAGACTTTGGAAGCGAAGAACACAATAAAATTGAGATCCGCTAACTTTACATCACTGGAAATGACAATCACATTAAAGCTTCTTCTGTTATCGTCCCGAACGTCAGGCTTTGGAAGCGAAGAACACAATAAAATACAAGCTAATGCAGTTACTGTATCCCAGCACGAGACTGGTCGTTAAGGTGGAAATGATTTTAACTAATTTCTAATTTTAAAGCCAAGTACACTAGACATTCAAATATAAAAATAAATAATATCAATATTGATATCAGAACTTGTGTCAAGATGAAATCAATATTAATATCGATGGCATTGGGCCCATCTGAACTATTTGAGGACGACCGAAGATGAAGAACACAATAAAACTCAAACAAACATTTACTGAATCGTATTGGTCCAACCATATTTTCATTAGGGTGACTAAATCTGATTGTACAGTTATATGAAAATAAACAATATCAATGTGGGTATCCGTAATGTGCGTGTCAAGATGGCTTCAATATTAATATCGGTGGCATTGGAACAATAAACGCTAGTTGCTTCTTCTGTTGCTGTATCTTAGAAGTATGATACCGGTCGTCACGATGGAAATGAACTTCGTATCACTTTTTCTCAATAGTATCCATTAAAAAACCATATGCAATTAAATATAAAAATAGGCAATATCAATGTGGATATCCGCAGATGGATTCAATATCAATATCGGTGGCATTGGATCCATCTGAACTGTTTTAAGACGAACGACGGTGAAGAACACAATAAAAATGTCGTTAAGGTGGAGATCTTAAACATAAGAATTAAATTATGCACTCAAAGAAATAAATAATACCAATGTGGATATCAGAAACCTTCGTGTCAAGAAGGCTTCAATATTAATATCGGTGGCATTGGATCCATCTGGACTATTTGACGTCGAGCGTCAGGCTTCGGCGTCGAAGTACACAACACATCATTGAAAGGTCCGAAACTATCGTCTAATGGCACTTTGTTATATCCTGAGTTTCTTTTATTTACATCACTTCCTTCAGAGGACGTTACATCCCCTAAACTCTGCTTCGTCTGAATCCGGAGGGGCTCTAGACCTGAAATAAAACTATACCATTAACTGATGTTTTGCTATAACAATGGAAGTCATCAATCAAATGAATCATATTAAAATGCACAGTTGGGAGTCTTTTGTATAATACGCCTATCTGTGCTGGTATAGCATTATTGAGAAGAAATTTCGAATCTGGATTAAGGGCTATTAATCAAGAGGTACATACTTGAAGTATTTTGTGATCTTAATCGTTTTTTCCTATGTAGCCAATATAACATAGCTAAAACAAGCAAGATAAACACCACTGCAACACCAATACTTATACCAATGATAGCACCAGTGGATAGATGACATTCTTGTGGCTGTGCATCATCTAAAAAAATAACATCTGTAAAATTAAATAAACTTGGGTATTAGACTTCCTCGAATGATTCCAAATGTGCGTGTTTAATTAAGAGGAATTTAATTAGGCTGAATTATCAATAAATTGCTATCAGGTAGCCTACAGTTCGAACTTGTAGTTAAAGTGAGCATTGTCTACCCGTGATCTTTACAAAATTATAATCGATGAAGTTTATTGCCCACATTATATTCTTACATATTACACAGAATTTCTAAACGTAAATATTAGTAACATACCTGTTTTAAAACAATTTTCTTCATCCTTATTGTTACCACAATCGTCTACATTGTTACAAACTAAAGACGAGTGAATACATTTAGCTGCAAATCGGCATTGAAAGAAGTTATGACTACAAGCTGAAAATACAAACAATATCAGAGTGGTTCATAAGTGACTAACTTGGGAAATAATGCGAATGATCGACAGGACGGGACAGTTGTGGATTTGTTTCAAGAAAAACAAAACAATTTGAAATATTTGTAGCATTGACTGCGCCTCAAATTTAAAATGATGTCCTGTGTCAAGTTGTCTTCCTTCATTATTCCAGTCTACCCAGATATAAATTGGGTGTAGATCATCCTGGAAAGATCAATTGCAAAGGTTTGCCAAGGACCAGCTGGTAGAAAGGATCCTCGTGATGAAGTTGTTATCCTCGTTAATATTACTTTTTTTTACATTAACTTATATCGTACTGAATATCACTATTAGTATGACATTGTCACTTGTAACGTGGGTCGTCATAACCATTCGTTTATAGTTCAACTAGTTTAATTGTGTCATATTGAAACAGATAAGAAAAACAGGTTTACTTAGTTGACAGTTGCATGCAACATCCTGAACATAAATTTTAACGTAATATTGCTATTAATCAAATACATACGACAATATTCGTTATTCAGAACACATGCTCCACTTTCACAAAACTTGTATTCTTTTGGTCTTTCATAACAGTTTCTCAAATCCATCGTTTGTCATATCTAGGTGGTATCGGCAATTTTCTTTAGATTGAGAATATTATGGTCTGTAGGTGTAACTGAAAAAGATTCACCCAAAATATAATTTTAATTCCAGAAAATATGGAATCAGAACAGTATATCAAATTCTTAAATCATTTTTCAATTATTTTAAGTTCTGTTTTGATACCGCTACGAAGACTATATACAAATATTGTAAACCATTCTTGTATTCCACCTGTTAGTTGTCAAGTTATGAAATCGACAGTTTTCGAGCGATATTCATGCAAAGATAAACTAGGCATAGACCTAATACTTAAGTAAAACATAATGAAATTCTAGCAAGAAATTTGGTCACAGAGTTATTTCCCTAGTTCATGGAATTGAAATTCTACAGCTTCCTTATTATTTAACCCTATTTCAGAATATTTGGTATTTGTCAAAATTCGTACAGAGTTATCGCCCTTAACGTGAAATCTGTTTTAAAATTTTTCCAGTTTGTGACAATTTCAGTTTATATCGAGATTTGGAGCGTTATGTTTATAAATACAGTTGAATTTCTACACCTTTACTGCTCAACCCACTTTCATAAAACTTGGTATTTGGCAGGGTTGACTAAATTTCGTACGGAGTTATCGCCCTTAACGTGAAATTGCTTCAAGATATTTGACTAGTTGTGGCAATTTCAGTTGTTTCTTACAGAGTTGTCACCCTTAACGTGAAATTGCTTCAAATATCTGTTAATCATAAAATTCGGAGCTTCGGGAATGTGTTTGTTGCAATCTTGTATCGATTATCACCAACGGTTTATGGAGAAGCGAATCTATTTAAAATCTATTGTCTTAAACATATTACATTATTGCTCAAAGTAAAATTGTACCGAAAATAACATTGCTCTAAGCTACATTTCCTTTTTTTGCCACAAAAACGCACTGAGTAAGAGTTGCCGTAGGGAATGAAAAATTAATGCATTTTCTAAATTATTATTCAAAATACTGATAAATATTATACATAATATATTATTTAAAAGTGTACAATAACCTTGCTATGCTTCATCGTCAGTGTTAAGACTATGATAAATATTGCCAAGTATAACAATGCGACATTGTTAAAATTATTGATATTGTCCATATTACATTGCATAATCATACATTGACATTATTATTTTTAGTATTTAGTAGGGCTTACCTACATTCTGTTAACATACTTTATAATCGTATTGGGGCGAAAATTGTAATCAAATTATTATCTATTGTACTTTAGGGAATGCAAAATTTCAGCCGAATTCGTATTACAGTTTTGAATTTCTTTGAACCAAAAAACATTTCTTTGTTAATGACAGACTTTCATAATTATTATCCAATATATAGTAACCGTTCTGGTGATATCAGCAAATGAACGCAAATATACGTTATTTCAAATACCTAAAAGTTATGGTATTATTTTAGCTCATTTACGATAAATGTATTACTACGGGGAAGGTCGAAAACAGGACATGTTAACTCTTTGGCATCGTATATATCAACACAGTTCAATTTAGATATATGTAATGTGGGCCTAGTTCGTTTTTTTTTCTTTATCTTCACTAATAGAACTTGGTAGAACATTTGTATTGTGCACAGAAATCTTACATTGAACTTTCTAACACTAGGTTAATTTTCTTATGTTTGTACACTAATTTATTTTACTTATGTTAACAGACAATAGTAATACACTTGTCTTGTGCAGTACCATCGTGCTATTTAGTGTTGTATTTCGTACACTAGTTTAACTTTCTTACGTCAACAAGAAAATCTATTTAATATATTCATTGTTGTATAAGATAAGGTGTTAAAAATATCACGGTTTTATGACATCAATAAAACAATGTATAAATAAAACGCATCAGGAACATTTACACAATAGATTGAAATATATCTGTTTTGCAACTTGTTCGACATGTTAGCTTATATATATAGTCAAAAATATTAACTTACCTACCTCTTTTGACACTACAAAACAACAGATGTCCTACATTTTATGTCATTCATATTCACCTACACTGTCCGAATGTTCAAGGGCCTGAATGTGTAATTAATATACCTTAAATCGTGACCTAAAATAAGTAAAAACCTCTATTGTCCTGTCTCTTATAACTTTGAGTTTATAGCAGACGACAATTTCACGTCTGGTTAAGCAAGTCGATAGACAGGTATGCGACAGATTGCACCAAACAAGAATTTTTCACTCGTGTACTTGAAGACACAGTGGACTCGTTTCGCAAATCGTCTTTAAAATTCCACAATTTTAAAGGTTATTGTGTCATTAGAATGTCAGAACTGAATAACTCAAATGACCAAGGGCGTTTATTCTAGAAAGGTTTACATTACGTGTATCTTGTATGGAAGACGTCTTATACAATACAAACGCTACACAAAATAGATTCATATTTTTTTTTACCAATATATTTGATGAGAAACTTCAATTTGGGTTACAAAAAAATAAGGAATGTTCTTGGTGTAAGGATGGTGAGCCTTGAGGCGCTGTTGGATATCCCATTGCAGAGTTACTCATGGATAACCATTAGAAAGATATCTATGAATATCTAGACTCTTGAGCGAAACATAAATAACTATGAATTTATGCTACCGACACTTCTCATCGGGCAGCACTTTCCGAATTAAACAGTAACTGTTTAATTTAAACCATAACAATGTAGTTTATATGCATCGGAAGCAGCATCAAAGATAGCGGTCTAATATCTATGCTCCCATCAACTTGAAAATCTGTATGAAAACCACGAGTTGTAGCCGTGTCATGGCACACTTATTTGGTATCAATTGTCATACTCAAATAAAATAGAGTTAAACAAAATAGAGTTGTAAAAAATAAATTGACGTAGAGAGCAATGTCAAATAAATGCGATAATTCCTCGGGCGTTAAATTCTATTTAAGTATATTGTCGTCAATACATCCCTTTTGTGACTTGCACTTTGAAATCAACATCTTGATGTTCATCCGGATTCACTTGGTCTAGAATTATGCATATCCTCTCGAGTTTATGATGAATAAGTGTCAACTTAACCCGTGGATACATTGATACATTGAATATGGTTGTGTATCTGCCATGTATAACAAAGAAATGAATGTGGAGTTAATATGACAGTCGGAAAATGAGAACATTTACTGGGTTTTCAACGACTGATAGCAGTTGGCGAATGCCGAAAGAATCGGATCAATGGGTTCAGTTCAGCACATTGGCGACTGAAAAATCGAAGTTACACTCAGTTGCTGATTCATATTACAATGGGTGTATAAGCGTTCTTCAGGTCATTTGTATCATCCTGCTAGTGACAAGTGCACCGGATAAAGTATGTTATGATATCTGTTATCAAAGATTGATCGTTTTAAACGAAAGGACATTCCTTTACCCGAGTGGTCAAGTATCTGCTATAAGAAATATCTTGTAAAACGAAACCCGAAATTGAAAAATATAAATAACGTTTTTGCGAAATATTGGCTACAGCTAAACAACTTTTACGAAGATGTATATCAATCATAAATAGGGAAGTATTTCAGAATGAAAGTGAAAGCTTTTAAACCTAGCCTTCAATTATTATTTCTCCATACGAAGAAAAGTGGAGAAATTATTTTCATTTTAACAACTAGCCTAACACAACAGAGGTCAATTTTTCTTGTCGTAAAAGTGGTCATCTCAATATCCTTTACTTATTGTACACTATAAATAAAGCTATATAAGAAGTACTCAACCATAAACTTGACAAGATAAATATTTATTCAGGAAAGATTTATTGTATGTCCGTTCGATAATAGATATTGAAATTGGTCTCTTCGTCCAGCAATTTATGCACCCAATTGGGTAATATAACACTGTGTTTTATGGTGGGCAGCCTTGCGACAGTATAAACGTAATATGTTATAAAATTATTGAAGAATATGCCGGAATAGCCAGCCTTTTTCACAACCCTGCCGAAGGAACTTTGCATGAGACGCCATTTTGTCCCTTATTGACGGTGTCATCAAACGGTTCATCCAAACCATAGACAGCAAATTATCATTTATACTTACTAAAACTATGAAGTAATTACCTTTCATTTATCATAGCATTTGCTTAAACCATGATTTCTAGAAACAAAAGATCATGATTCAAAAAAAATTCACAAGGATGTATCCAAGGAAGTCTTACCATGCTATCGAAATATTCACAAGACAGATTGTCAACAGAATGTTCCCTACACAAAGAATTATTATACCACATTTTATTAATAGTTACAGTATAAAAGCATAATGTCAGTAGAATATAATCATAATAATTTTCTGAATGTCACCAGCTGTCAAATGTCAACCCTATTCTTCCTATTATTGATTTATTTGAGAAGGTATAGTCAATGTTACGCTATATTACTTTATAATTTATGCCTTGCTTCACAGATGCAAATCGAGTCTTGGTACATGGCACCCGCTCACTGATGTCTTTTTGTCCTTCATTCAGTCTAAAAGAATAGCTTTAAGAGTACCAAAATATCAATATGACAACGTGTAATAGCATACAAGTTTACTCTGCACTGCAGAGTTGCCTTTAAGCTCTTTTTTAAACAGGTATACAGGGAAACATGGAGATTTTATGCAACGTAGATTTATCATTTGAAATACATCTTACTGTCGTCAGCAGTGCTTTTATGAGACTGTGTTCTCATGAACAAAAACAAAATAAAGGAATTAGCGGCGACTTCAACATTATGTAATAAGAGATCTAATGATACAAATGTTATTGTAACAAGTTCTTGTGAAGTTCTTCAATATAAGAACTTTTATAAAGGCACTATTGACTCCGACAACTGCAAGTGGGCGTAAGTTACATTGCTTGTCAAACTATTGTGTTGGTAAAACAACACAATGAACAGTCATAAATAAATCAAAAACATGGCCTTGAAACAATTTAATCATGTGACGGATGTCGCCTCTTGCACACTTAACCTTACAATTAATACGGAAAACGCATTAACTGTATCAAGTGTATTTCACTTTTCATTTTCATACATAGAAAACTTTAACCCCAGATATCTTTTGTTGTACTAATACTAGGCAAGAATTATATTTCCTCAAATATATAATGCTCTCAGTTGACTAACATGGGTACGAACGGACTGTGGTGTCACGTTCCAATGTAGATATGTCCCCTTAATCGTCTCATCACTCATTGCTCAAAACAGTAAACAACAACAAGCACGTATTCTTAAGATAAACATCTCCTATTTTAGACAAACAGATTTTATGGTCCTCCACAATTTTTGACGGTCGTATATGAGAAATGTAGATTTTTGTAATTGCTCGCATAGTTTAGGCGTGATAGTCGAACAATATTTGGAGTGATACCACTTGATCATATGCATAATATTTAATAATTTTTTTCTAATATATAATGAACTAGTGTCAAACTGTTAAAAATGGGCAAGCTAGTTATTGTGTTTATGGCATCCTTCATTACTGGATTAGTTTCATCGGATTTAAACGGTAATATTAGTGAATTTTTCCCAGATTACCAATTTTATATAGTCTGTTGAGTTTTGGTATGAGGTTCGCGGAACGCTTTTGATCACGAAACTTCATCTTAGATTCCAAATTTTTATTTACAATCTACTCCGACGTAGCCAAGTACAGTGCGATGTATTAGTTTGTTAAGCAATGTCTAGTTTAGCTATAGATTTTTGATCTAGCTTTTTGGATTGCAGACGTTGTGCCAATATGATCCCATGAAGTGATTTATAATGCCCAAGCAGTGATTCTAAATTGATAACCAGGGCAATAAGCGTTGTATATAGAGAACCAGGATGTTCAGATTTATATAATATAATTTAAAATTATATTATGACACATCTAAAAACTGAAACACTCCCCTTTGCATACATGATGAATAAGTTAACCTAGAATACTGAGTTACATAGAGCCAGTGCATATTGTCATGTGATAACAGTCAAAATGGCAGTGATTGTGTTGATACTGTGCATTTCTGTAATTTGTAATGTATTTTCTACTGCACAAGCTGATGGTAAGAACTAATAAGTTATTTTATGTCCACGAATCGGAATCATTCTTTTCGAAACGTGATTTACGCAAAGGTTAAGTATTGTTTGCGGAATGTTGTCGCTTCGGCAGTGTTTACACTAATTTAGCCATGGAATAATTCAAAATTCTATTAAGATGGCATGCCGCACCGCACAATCCTCACAGTAGTTTACGAAGACTTAAATCATTGGCAGACAGAAGTAACTAAAAATAGATGGATTGAAGATAAATCATGTTTTCTTCATATCCCAATCTCTCGACTGTAAATGGGCGCGAATATTATCTGGTAAATTTATGCGGTATGGACCGCATCGACCAACCAAAAATAACCAACCGCGGAGCTCATATATATATATATATATATATGAATTCCGTTCCTCTCTCATCAGTAACAAGTTGATTTTTAGTAAAGACCTTTCATTTGACCTTTATTGAACAGGATCTTTTTAGATTCTCTATTCCGGTCATGCATTTTGCACATTTAGTTCAAGTTTTGTGGTTTTGTGATTCTATCCCGGATAACACTTAATAACTATTGGGTCGAGTCGACCCTATTGAAAGTTTACCGGGTTCAAATTGAGATCGACAACCGTAATTTTAGTACTGTCACATTTTAGTTCAAAACAAAATATTTATGCAACCTCAAATTGTCAATATTATTTCAGTGTTTCGTATCAATTACCTAGATTATGTAGCCTATTATCACTGACTAACTCACTGAAGGTTATTATCGTTAAAATGATTACAGTTCTGATCAAAATGAAATAAATTAATTGGCATTCAATATTTTCAGTAAAATGGTGTGTGACGTCACAACCAGAATCAGCTAAATGTGAATCCTTAAGAAAATATTTAGCTGATAATCACTTAACTCAGTTGAGGTGTATTAAAGTAAGTATGAGATTATTATCCAGTTCATCCATATATATATATATATATATATATATATATATATATATATATATATATAATAAGTGACACTCAACCCATAAAATCATGAAAGTGGGCATAATATGCATGCCTTTATGGATCAAATGGTATAATGAACACAAAGGATTCATGGGGACTCATTGTGTGTTTATGTTCCCAAATGTTATTGCCTATACAGAGCGTGGTTACTCAATGATCGTCGCTTTTTTTTTTATTTCAAGCTCAATTCCGTCTTCGGCAGATCTTGATGACTTTTGGATCTTACACATAATATCCCTCCAATATAACTGTAGTGGCATATCCTTAGCTTTTGTAAGTTTCATTTATATCTCCCAGGGAGGAAGCCGTTATGAATGTTGGAGATACATTAAAAATGGTGACGCTGATTTAATTCGAGTTGATGACACAGAAATATATTCAGCTGGAAAACTTTACGATTTAAAACCGGTCGCCAAGGAAACATTTTCCTCAGGTAAACAGCGTAATATTTCAATCAAACATTCTCTTGTCTCTGTATTTTTATCACTTGAGCAGAAAGGTCTTCATAGTATTAATAGCTCAAGTCTCCAAGTTGGGTGCCCTATTTCTAGTAATGGTATTAAATTTAGCAAAAGGTCATTGTGACCTCTTCATTTGCATAATGACATACATCTTTTGTAAGTTATTTGGTTGAGTTACTGTGATGGTCGAAAGTAGATAATGGAAATATAGTCATGACTCAAAGCAGACTTTAATTTAAAACGGCCAGGAGCAGGTTCTTAACCTTCTACAACATTAGCCGCGGTGTCAATAATTACATTCAAAATAGTGATCCAATAGAGTGAAGCAATAACCATTCTAAAAATGAAGATTGAAAATAAACGATCCTGGTGAGCTCAGTAAGACTTTACCGAGCTTTGACATAAATAGAAGCCTTGGGAGTGCACTAGTGTGCCGTCTATATCTTTCCAATAATTTATTTTTCAAGATTCGAATGCAGAAACGTTTATGTATAAGGCTGTGGTAGTTGTAAAAGCTGATGGACCAATCAAGTCTTTGGAAGATCTTCGTGGAAAGAAGTCATGTCATACCGGGGTAGGAAGGACTGTGGGTTGGACTATACCTGTATCGTCGTTATTGAAAGAGAAGATAATGCCTCAAGCTGACTGTGACAATACTGTTAAATCAGTAGCAGCATTCTTCTCACAGAGTTGTGCTCCTACAGCTTTTACATCCATTAACGATCCTTATGGTAAGGAGTTATTTCTTTACGATTGTTTCCTTTAATCATTTAGAATACCAGATCCTTTTAAAATCAATGTCTTGTCCTTATTTCCAAAAGAGCTATAAAATGACGCTCAGGTAAAATCCACTAACAATCCTTATGGTAAGGAGTTATTTCTTTACGATTGTTGCCATTGATTATTTAAAATACCAGATACTTTTAAAATCAATGCCGTATCTTTATTTCCAAAAGAGCTATAAAATGACGCTCAGGTTTAAAAAAAAATAGTCAGGAAAAGATGACAAATAAATTATATCTTCTTGTATTATTTCAGATGATAATCCAACCAATATCTGTGAAATTTGCCAAAACAAGTTATGTCCTAAGGATGAACAATTTTTTGGTTATCTGGGAGCTTTCAAATGTCTTAACGATGGTATGGGAGATGTGGCTTTTGTAAAGCATAGAACTATAGATGATGCTGTAGATGCTGGCATAAACGTTAATAAAGAAAACCTTCGTCTTCTCTGTAGAGATGGTAGTCTAAAACATGTTAATGAATGGAACATGTGCAATTGGGCGACCAGGCCAACAGATGTTATCATGACGTCATCATCTAAGAACGAAATGGACATTGGTCAACTGAGAACGTTTCTGGAAAGTCTAAATGCTTCAGCTAGTGTTGGTTTCTTTCAATCTGGCTCTGGTGGAAAGGATCTTATGTTTACTGATGGAATAAACCATTTGATTGGTATAGGAAAGTCGCAAGCCAATTATAAAACTTACTTAGGCAAGTCTTTTTTATGTATTGTAAGAATAGGTTTTAAATTTCAGTTTTTCCCTCTGATGCAGATTGTTGAGAGCTGATTATATTGAACTGTATTATATTAAAAGAGTGCTACCATAATAACTGCTATGTGCACAGTATTGGCATTGCTAAAGAAACAAACGTTGAAAAGGAAACACAAACATCTAAAGGCTATAAGCTGAAGTAGAGGCGTGCTTGAAAAATAAATTACGATTTTTTGCCCTTTTGTTTCCCAAATTTAAATTATTTTGGATAATTTTAGAACCGGGATATTTAACCAGCATGGAAAATTATACTTATTGTGGCATAAATTTCCGATGGTGTGTCAAAACAGCAGTCGAAAAAGATAAGTGTAATGACATGAAGGCAGCATTGATTTCTAAAAGGATCACAAGAGAAATGGAATGTGTCGATGGGGCCAGCAATGATGACTGTATTGAACAGATTGAACAAGGTACAGCAGATGTGATGACTCTTGGAGCGAAAGAAGTGTATTCAGCTGGAAGGTTGGTTGTAATCTTGTAATTTTTCGTACAATAGGGACTGATTGCATAGGTGAAAGTCTTGTGGTACAAAACAAAAATTGGCAAACAATTTTGACTGACTTTCAATTTTTTTTGATGGACCAGAGCGTTTGTTGACCTTAATACAACGATGTCATAGAATCTGATAAACCTTTAATGATTGCTGACATATATTTTTACTAGATATGAAAATCTCGTACCTATTTCTGCTGAGAATTACAAAGATATTGGTGAAGAAGGAACAAGTTATTGGGCAGTTGCCGTAGTTAGAAAACAAAACCGGGGGGTAAACATCAATAATTTGAAAGGTAACTGTTAGTGTAGTCTCTTGAACCGGTCTCGAGTTAGTGAAATTGTTAGTTCCATTATGAACAATTGATTTAGTATTTGCCTAATGGTAATCCATCGCGAAATGGAATTCGAAAGAAGGGTACACAAGTTACTGCTCTAATTTCCCTCACTGCAAAATGAATATTATCTCATGTTCAGTTACCATCAGTCCATTTAATCATCTCTCCCTACTGTTCACTTTTAAGTCATAATTCAACTCCCCTTAGTTGCATTACAGTTTGTAATTGAATTTTCCTTATTTTCAATTGCAGGTACCAAATCCTGTCACACGGGGATAATGAAACAAACCGGTTGGATATTACCAGTAGGCTTTCTAATAGCTCATGGTCAAATGGCAAAAACAGACAAATGCAATATGGCAGTGAACGTTGGTAATTTTTTCAAAGAGAGTTGTGTTCCCGGTGCCTTGAATCCAAAGTACAACCCAGATGGTACAAATCCTAAGAATCTGTGTTCACTTTGCGGTGGTGAACAGTTTTGCCACAGGAACGTTACAAATAAGTATTACAGTTACATAGGAGCACTTCGCTGCCTTGTTGAAAAGAACGCAGATGTAGCGTTTGTGAAACACACAACAGTTATGGACGTTGTGAATGGTGACAAAGGTGAACCATGGTCTGCATCCTTAACATCCACAGACTTCGAACTTTTGTGCCTTGACGGATCTAGGCAACCGGTGACAGAATGGGCAACCTGTAATTTAGCAAGAGTACCATCGCAAGCTGTAGTAACAAATAAGAAAAAGTCAGAAACAATCAGAAAGCATTATCAAAGGGTTCTAAATAAGGCTCAATATTATTACAATAACCAGAGTTCCATTTTCAATTTCTTTCAACCACCTAGTGGTTCTAAAGACGTGATTTTCAAAGACAAAATCGTCAAACTAACAAACATTCCTCCCCTCATACAAAATTATAAAACATGGCTTGGGGCTGAATATTTGAAAGCTTTGGAAGCAATCGATGTACACCAGTGCACAAGCAATGCAAATCCGATTGGCCAAACACAACTGAGTTTGGTTGTTCTGTTTGCAGCCATTCATATTGTCAGAGTGGTTGTTTGAAAACTTGTTTTTTATTTGTTTTTTGTTTGTTTTGTAGCTATAATATTATCAAGTGTCCACCTAACCTATATTTTTACTAACATAATTCACAAAGAACTAATTATTGCACTGCACTCTATTAATATCAAGAAGCATCATGTCGACCGGCAATATTGCAAAAGGCAGCATCGCTGCTTTTATTAAAAACTTAAACTGGTACCTAGGCGGTTGCCTATAGTCGGTCAGGTGTGCGATTTGAGAGTATTACTAATTGCTTATATTTATGTCACTACTGTTAAGTCGATAAGAATATTCGTATGTGCTAGGTAACTGGAAACCGACTTGTCACTACTGTTAAGTCGATAAGAATATTCGTATGTGCTAGGTAACTGGAAACCGACTTGTCACGATGAAACATTGAGAGTTATAATATCACTAATGATTATACACGTTTTGTATTTTTTGTAGATATCTTTTCATCTTATCTTTTGTTTAGCTTATGTAATAAATACTATTTAGTAAAACATTCGTGCTAAATTTATGCTGGAAACACAATATTCAGAATGTGGAACGATAGGGATGATGATCAAGTATTAACCCTGTGAATGAATCGGGCTGGATAGCTGAGGGAATGCAACATTGAACGGGGCATTTTGCTGTTGACTTTTGTATAAATAATTACTTCTGATTGTTTCTCACACTGCAAGGGGATTCAACCCTTCCTTTCTATTGCCCATTTCAGTATCCTTGATCGAGGGCATTACCCCCTCCCCTATAAACCCTTACTATTTCGTGTTTTTTTCGTGTATTCCCTGCAATCATTGTCATGTCCGAAGGCATAGCCTGACTGTCCAATGCTTAAGTATTAATCGCGTAAGTACCCCACAAACATTTTAAAAGTATTCCCTCGTGTGAAGAATTTACCCCCAGGTTGAAAACTGTCCTACTGGCTGATTAACCTGGAAACGATTTGTACCTAATTGTTATCATTGATGTTATAGATCTTAATTCCTGATATTAAATCATCCATTCCAATATCAACCTTGTCAACAAAATGATTTAAGGGCAATATCAGAGATAAGGTCTTCGATAAATCCACTTTAGATAGTAAGCATTTTGTTTGCCATCTGGGAGCTTTTATAATACAAATGATAAGAAATAACTATTGTGTTTTGTGCTTCCATACGATTGAGGTGAATTGACTTAGCTTAGATTTAAATCTCTAATGTGAACAATTTCAAATTCCGAGCATACATCTTTTTGCTTCTACAAAACGTCATGGGATTCTCATACGAATCTGATGTCCGATTGAACAATTCGTATTTCATCGTAAAAGATGGTTTGGAGAATCGAAGTTACTTTACCTATTACTCCGAGTTCAACCGAAAGTATGGGTTCACTCCATATGTTGAAGCAACAGTACTCATCTTAATATCTATATTTTCAACAATGGCAAACCTGACGATATTTTTTCTATTGACGTGCAATAAAAGCTTAAGAACTGTTACTAACGTTTTTATCGGTAGCTTAGCCATGTCCGATTTATTGTTCACGTTATCCGGACCCGTCATTGCAGCGTGCCGCATCACCGAATCTTGGACATTTGGGCACTTTGCCTGTGATTTTATTGTGTATATGCAGTTCGTTTGTGGTTCTGTCAGTATTTGGACTATGACAATGATCAGTGTGGAACGTTACTTCTGTATCGTCCGTGGTTCTAATTCAACCATCACCCCGCGAGTGGCTGTAATCGCTGTGGTAGTAATGTGGATCGTAGCTTTGATTTCTTACAGCTCTGTTATAGCTAGCTTCACTGTGTTATCCCTTCCGTTTGGGAATACGACGGTTACGATATGTACTCTCATGTGGCCATGGAATTCAGTGCAAATGTCTCGCATTTTCACAATTTTCGTGTTTATTTTTACCTTTTTAGTGCCGCTCATTGTGTTAACTCATAATTACGCTACCATCTTTCTCAAATTCAGAAAAGTCCGAATGATTGTAAATCAATCCAGGATTCAGAACTCCAATTTATCTGAGGCCTCAGAAAATATCCAGAGGACACGAAACGCAAGGGATATGAAAGTTGTTAAAACTGTTTTCAGTTTGGTTATAATATTTGCTGTCATGTGGTTTCCTATCTGTGGATGCTTTGTTTACATACTTGTGGACAATGCAACTGGCTCTATGGAACTGGGGTCTTACGTATTTATCATAGCGCTAATGTGCGCTATGGGAAATGGCTGCGTAAATCCGATACTGTATGGTGTGATGAACGAACGCTTGAAATTGATATTGCTTTCGTGTTGCTTAAGTAAATGTGACTCTGAGGATAACTCGAATCGTATTCAAAGCATCGCTATTAAGCATATTCCGAATGCACCACACAGGATTCAAACTATCCAAGAAGATTCTGAGGGTCCAACCGATACCCACTAATTGTGAACATTCTGTCAAACCAATGTCTCCATACACCAAAAATACAACTTATGTAACTCGTTTGCTAGACCGTTTCAATCGATGCAGGATGTCGAGATTTAAAGGCTTCAATTTACGAAAAGGAGGTTTTGCAGTGTCATGATGGTATTTCGAAATTATTACTAGAAAAAATACAATAAGTTTACGGATGGAATGTGCATGTAGATTAGATAAACTGTCATATTGTACTTAGTGTCAGTGTTATTGCTAAATCTTGCCACTACGTCTTATCTGATAAGATATGTGTCTAGAAAAACTTGAAGATAAAACTCAGTATATAAAGTAGATACTCCACAACAACGATAGGTTCTAAACAACATGGCAGTTAGTCACGCTGTGTTTTCTGCAGCTTTCCTAGGTATTGGATTGCTATTATCTGTAGTCGAAGGAGATGGGTCATGTAATGTGGTAGCATCAAGCAGAATCGATTGCTATCCAGGACCTGGTTCAAGTCAAGGGGGTTGTTTGGCAAAAGGTAAGAACTGTTTAGGTTCATCAACCTATTTACCTTTCTGTTTATCCAAAATAAAGAAGCTCTATTCCCACTTGTATGATTTTGCCTCTTCCAAAAGAAACAGTATGCGTAGTCAGGACAATAACATTCCCTTCGGAAGATGTACGGGGCAAAGGACAGATGGTGTAACTGGTCATTTGGTGACACTGAAGCGACAAGGTGTATCTTCATTAATGAAATATTATTCAAGAATTTATTTTTCTAGGTTGCTGTTGGGTGCCAGCAGGAGAAGGCTCATCTATTCCCTGGTGCTTCAAAAAATCTGGAGATTCCTCCGCTACACTACCACCAAAAATTTCCAATCCAAAATGCCACAATATAGACGATTCAATCAAAACAGATTGTTTTCCTGAATTAGGCGCATCCGAGTCGAGCTGTCAAAGTCGAAACTGCTGTTGGCAACCTTCAAGTACCCAAGGAACACCCTGGTGCTTCTTTCCAGGAAATGACAATATAGGATACAAAGTAGACAAGATAGCAAAAGATGGCTCAATGGCAACATTGTCACAAATAAATGACACTCATTGGCCAAATGATGTTAAATCTTTAAAACTCAATGTCTTTAAAGAGACCTCGGAGCGTCTGCATTTTAAGGTAGGAGGCGATTCACACTTTTATCAAGCTTGAGGATGTACAACATAACACGAAATTCATTTGGACGTGTAACTGTACCTGATAGAGTTTTAGTTTTATGTAGAATATTCGCTGGCATCTTTCAACTAATAACACAACAAAATGTTCGAATCAAATCGATATTCAATTGGGTTTTTTTGACATGCACTTCAGATAGTAGATGCATTTAATACAAGATTTGAAGTACCAATTAAAACACCACCTACTTCTAATGACGGAGAAGCTAATGCTAATTATGGAGTCACAATTGATCAAACTTCTGGTGGAATCACTGTTACAAGGAAGTCTACGGGGACAAAACTGTAAGTGGTATAGAAATCAACAACAGCTTTACGAAACTTCCCAATGCCAAAATAGCTGTAAATGACTTCGATGTCGATGGAAAAAGAACATCTCTGTTGAACATGTTTAAAAATATTTGGGGATCTTAACTATTTCAATCTGAACATTTTTATCATCATCGATAAAAAATACTTTCTCTTATGTTATTTTTAGATTCGACTCTACTGTCTCACCAATGATATATGCAGATCAATATATTCAAATTACAACGTCCTTGCCCACAACACATATCTACGGGTTGGGCGAACATCGTGGACCAATATTACAAGATGCTACCTCTCACATTGTAAAAGGGTTCTGGGCACGTGATCAACCGCCATATGTACGTAATTAACCTATCTTTCCGTAGGCAGTGGCGGTGCCATTGGGAGGGGGGATCCCAATCTTGGGAATCTAGCGCCGCCACTGCTCGCAGGTTCTTTTTAAAACCCGTATGCAGCAGTTATGAATTGGTTATTCAAAAAACGTTTCCAGTTTCTTTCTATACACACAAGGGCTTTTTGGCATGGGTTACAGAATGTCAATAAAAAATCAGCAGTATTACAATTATAATGTATAGAATATTCATTCCAATAAATGAAAGAACCCTTGTTTAACTATTATGTTTTCATTTAGGAACACGTCAATCTTTATGGTTCACATCCGCTGTATCTGGGAATTGAGGCAGATGGAAACGCTTTTGGTGTTTACCTGCTGAACGCTAATGCAATGGGTAAGTCAGGTTGAGCGAAGTTAAAATAGCTATGGATGAAATGTTTTGTAGAAACTTCCATATTTGAATCCAGTTGTTATATGTGAAAGATTCTCGACCTAGACGTTTGTGATGCAGTGTAATTGTGAAAAGGCTCTTCTGATGTTTTCATCATCCTTCTGGGTCATCTGATTACATGCTGCCCCTTGGAAACCCATCACCCTGTCCAGCCCTAACAATTTTATTAATATATATATATATTTTTTTCTTTAGAAATAGTAATAAATCCAGGCACTCCACCAACTCTTACCTACAGAACAATTGGTGGTATCTTGGACTTCTATGTATTTACTGGGCCAACACCTAATGACGTTATTAGACAATATACTGATGTCATTGGGAAACCAATGCTTCCACCTTACTGGTCGTTAGGCTACCATAACTGCCGATGGGGTTGGGGAGGTAGTTCTGGTTTGAGAGAAGTCATTAAGAGATTGAGAGACAATGGCGTTCCATTTGTAGGTAGCTCTTAATATCTCATGGATACATACAAGAGAATAAGAAGAATGACTTCAATCTGAGATTTCAGATTCTTTTTATAGAGAACCCGAACAGTGGAAGTGAGAGTTTTCTGAGACTGATATAAATATTGATATAAATTGGCTAATCGCTCTAGTAAAAACAAATTCCATATCTGTTGTTCCTAGTTTAATAATTACAATCTTCCCCTTTTATTCAGGATACCACTTGGGCAGATATCGACTATATGGATGAACACAGAGATTGGACTGTCGGAAATGCTTTCTCTGAATTACCAGATATTGTGAAAGACTTGCATGATCATGGTCAGAAGTTTGTACCAATCGTGGTGCGTTCATGTTCTATAATCTTTTTTATTATTTTTGATTGCCCATCATTTACATAATCTTTTATTTCACTGGTTTCTAACAATGTAGAGGTCCGAGGTTGATTCCGACTCCTTTGGGGTGTTCAAAAAGCACTTAAACCTACGGACAAATGAAGTTCGATCTCTTATAAGGTACATACGCATGGTCTGCAGATTAGTTACCCTGATGTTAAGGATGATCAATAATTTAACGTTAACGTTTTATTCCGCCATAGGATCCAGCTATCAGTAATAAAGCAGGTTATATAGACTATGAAGAGGGTATAGCTGATGACATCTTTATTAAGAATCAGGATGATAGTGTTTTAATTGGCAAGGTAAATACATTTGACAGTGAAAATCGGGTTGCTTAGAATATTGTGACTCTTTCTTTTAATATAGCTGGCATCATAGACCAGTTTACGTGTGGTCACGCATGTTATGCACATGAACATCGTGCTAATGAATTGAAGAACAGTTCCAATCGTCGTGTTCATCATCCCCAGTCCATTGTTGACATAGTTATTCTTTTCAAGGTTTGGCCTGGTGATACAGCTTTTCCAGATTTTACACATCCAAAAGCGTATGACTGGTGGTACAAGTCTGCAAGTAGATTTCATGCGAAGGTTCCCTTTGATGGCATTTGGATTGTAAGTTTTTATAATACAATGGATCATCTGCAACTTGGTTTGTCATCTTGGCAACCGTTATGGACAGTTCATGTAGCTTATATTTTATTCAGTATATTCATTTTCAGCGACAATAATACAATGCAATAATATTATTTTAGTCAAATATGAAGACAGTGCGATTATTGCCATTCAAACATCCTGACAATGGGATTGCATTGCTTCACGCAGTCTCGCAAATATTTTTGTAGGATATGAACGAACCAGCGAATTTCGTGGCCGGGTCAAATGCTGGTTGTTCAACGAGCAGCCTAGATAAACCTCCTTTTACTCCTTGTAAGTAATGATAAAATAACTATTTATTTTATGTAATTGACTCACGATTATGTTTGGTACGTGTTTTAATATTCTGACTTTTACTCCGAATACAAGTCTTTATATTGCTCACTGCAGTTCTGTTGAGCATATTTGTTTGCTAATGTTTTGTATGTGATGGCATTTCTTCCTATGCATTAAGATTTTGATCTGTTTATATTTCAGCCATCGGTGGCAGAAATATCTTGGAAAAAACATTATGCGGATCGGCCAAACAGCACCTTGGCACGCATTATAATCTTCACAATATGTACGGCCATTTTGAAGGAATTGCAACTAACAAGTACGTATTCAAGTACAATTGTATAAATTAAAAACAATTTCAGTAACAAGTTTTTTGTCACGCGTTTTTACGAAATATTAAAACTATTATTAAATTGTCCTAAACTAAATGTATACTAGACCCTTTCATATGGTTAATAATTCCTTTAAAGACAACTTATAGATATTATTATTTTGTGTTATTTAAAAAAAAAAAACACTACTCTTTATTTCAGGGTATTGACAAAGCTGTTGAACAAAAGGCCATTTGTGCTATCAAGATCGACGTTTCCAAGCAGTGGACAGTATGTAGCTCACTGGGAAGGTGATAACAACGCAGATTGGCACAGTTTACAGTTATCTATACCAGGTATAATCCGAAATCTACAACTTAATTATTTCACATTAATGCTTTAATCCAGACCTTCTCTTGCTTCTGTCGTTTTTTAAGGGCGTCAGCTATCAATTATTCAAGTAATATACGGAAACGTCCTGCTACAAGATATTCATTGACATGTTATCTCAAATTTTCCTGAATCATGTTTATGTTTTAGAAATCTTAAACTTTAATATGTTTGGAATTCCATTTGTGGGGGCCGATATTTGCGGTTTCCAAGGACGAACAACTGACGAACTATGTACGAGATGGATGCAGCTCGGAACATTTTACCCTTTCATGAGGAACCATAGAGATATCCGTGGTCCAGTAAGTAAAAAATAGTCTTTTTGCTAACCATGGATTTTTAACCCCCTTATTGGCTACGTTATCACTTATTATGATTGCATGTTCAAAATATATGTTAAATTGAGAAAATGCATTTTGTTATCATCGAAGTGTACTTCCAACCAACTGTAGATGGTTTAGGTACATGTAGTATATATATATATATATAGCATATTTTCCAGCCCTATTGGCAATATACAGTCCTGTGAACAAACAGCAGAACTTGCTTGCAATGAGAAAGGTTTATCTGTACCACCTCTACTGACACTATACAGTCATATAAACAAACAACTGATCTTGCTCACCATGAAAAAGGCTTGATCTTTACCACCTCTACTGGCACTATACAGTCATATAAATAAACAGCAGATCTTGCTCACCATGAAAAGGGCTTGATCTTTACCACTTCTACTGGCACTATACAGTCATATAAATAAGCAGCAGATCTTGCCAGCAATGAAAAGGGCTTGATCTTTACCACCTCTACTGGCACTATACAGTCATATAAACAAACAGCAGATCTTGCTCGCAATGAATAGGGCTTGATCTTTACCACGCTTACTGGCACTATACAGTCATATAAACAAACAGCAGATCTTGCTCGCAATGAAAAGGTCTTGACCTTTACCACCTCTAGTGGCACTATACATTCATATAAACAAACATCCGATCTTGCTTGCAATGAGAAAGGCTTGATCTTTAGCAGATCTTGCTCGCAATGAGAAACGTTTGATTTGTCATAATGTCATGGACAATGACCAGACTCTTCTTTCACAGAGCTAATTTTCTGGCGTTTGACCATTGTCTATTTATCACTTTCGGTACATACCTGATGGCTTTCCAATGATTTTTCCAGCATCAAGACCCCATGTCACCTGAATTTAGTAGTACAACTCATGCAAATTTGAAGAAGACACTGCTAGTGAGATATCATATGCTTCCATTTTTCTACACAGCATTTTATGAAAGCCATATGACCGGACATGGTGTTGTCAGGCCCCTATTCTTCAAGTGAGTGCATTTGGTCAGTATTGTTGGCTCTCATTCCTGAATCTGTAGCAGCAATGGTTGTCGTTTCTGAAGACCATTCAAGTTGACCTCCATCAAACCTAAACTCGATCGATCGCAATGCAGGTTTTATACTAAGGGTGATAAGATTTTCAATAGAATTTTATTTCTTTATATTCTCATTTTAAACTTGTATTTAAAACAGCTAACTGAAATATACCAAAGAAGCCATTGATGGGGCTAGGATTATTAATATCTGTATTTTAGGTACCCGACAGATTCAAATACACTAGCTATAGATGATCAATTTATGTGGACTGATAGTCTTTTGGTATCCCCCGTTACACATCAGGTATGGTGAATAAAACCATTATGCCCAATGAAGCGTCCTGAAAATTTCAATCATTCTCTTAACGCATACCAAGTTTTCAAATTCATACGATTCGGATGTTGCAGATTTAGTAGAATATCGAAAAACTGAAATGCTCATGGACACCGCCTGAAGCTGGTGATTTCTGAAGCCTATCAAATTTTTTGCAGAACTTCTTTTTTGTCTCAGGGTAAAACGACTGTTGAAGCATACATGCCAGCTGATCGATGGTTTGATTTGTATAGTGGTAAAGAAACAGTTGGTACTGGCGCAAAGGTGGTACTTCAAGCACCTATGGATACAATTAATGTTCATATTAGAGGTGGTTCAATTATTCCAATGCAGACACCTGATGTTACTACTACGAAAAGGTATGTTCTTCGTATGTTTTTTTCGTGGAACATCGAACAAAATTTCAGGATTAGGGAATAAGTTAAGAAAAGGAAAATTGAAGTAAAGTTACTTCTCTTGAGATGAATGTGTCATCATGGGGCTAAAACTTTATTTGTTCTGTTACAGCCGGGTTAATGATTTTGGTTTAGCTGTTGCTCCATCTTCTTCAAATGTTGCTTCAGGACGGCTTTATTGGGATGACGGTGACGCCTTAGGTAAATATTCTTGAATATTCTCATAATCCGAGGACAGTATACGCATCATCCTTAACAAAACTAGAATATCCGCTTTCGCAAATTGACGAATATTATATGGCATTTTGGTTTTGAATAACGAATGAAGGATTTCTTTTAGAAATAGCTATCTAATTTAATTGACATTTCATATATTTGTTATTTAATTAACATTTCACATATTTGTTATTTAATTAACATTTCATATATTTGTTATTTAATTAACATTTCATACATTTGTTATTTAATTAACATTTCACATGTTTGTTATTTAATTAACGTTTCATATATTTGTTATCTTCAGATGCCTTATCTGGAAGTAAATATAACCTTATAGATTTCAAATTAGCCGGAGTAAGTACTTAAAATACACTTCCATACAAAGCACTGGCATGAGCAGAGATCTTCCATTGAGAAATTTGAACTGCAGCTGGATATATAGTTGGAGGTTGAGCTTTAGATATTTTTACACCCTGGTACATATTCCCGACATAAACACGAGCAGTTCACCTTCATTTAGTTCAGCACTTGATAAATAAAGCATACATATTGTTCTGCTGACACCAAATTGATCGCGAATAACAAAAAAAAAGACTGCTCTTGATTATGCTTGAATCTTCGGAGGATGGATAATCAAGCTAACATACATGTCCATATCCCTCTCTTTAAGGGCCAGGTATGCCATTTTTGACCAATCATACTTTTATCTTTGGCTGAGCTAATTAGCAATATTGACCACATCTCACCGTCGAAATTTGAGCCTTCAAATCCATGTGTGTCCAGAATTATCTGCGTTTGAATGTATAAATGACGACTCGTCAATTTAAGATACTCTGTGATATGTAGAAAAGACATGTATAGAAATAGTGAGTTTGAAGTATTTTTAAAGGAATTTTGTGATTATCGTACATTTCTAGTACTTCTTACGACTATTTACATATATTCAAGACTAAAATGAACCCCTCAAAATGGCACACCAGTTCGTTTAAACTGTTTATGTTTCTGTTCTGTTACAGAATAAATTAACATTTACTGTAACGAAGTCAGGATATGTAACTAAGATGACTTTAGGAGCATTATCTATTAATGGAGTAGCATCCAACCCAACCAAAATCATGTTAGATGGCACACGTGTTCCGCATGCTTATGATTCTGTCAATAAGGTATGTCTATATCCATCACATTATTTTCTCTAACATATGGAATAGCATCCATAGATTGATACACCAGATCTTATGAAGATCGTTTTTCGTAAATCGAAGAAAATAAATCTCGATATTGGTTGTCAAATCCTATTGACCTGATAGGTACCGTAAAAGACCTTTAATATATTCCAGACGACTGATTCTGGGTAATATTTACATCACCGAGAATTGTTCCATTTTCGGATGTTTGATAATATTTTTGCTATGTGATTTTTCTGATTTGATACCAACAGTTACTTCCCTTGGTTTGGATAATATTCAGCTAAAATTAATTTGACTTGTATCGCCTTTTAATGCAATATCATTGTGTTACTAATTAAATGACGGTTTTGTTAATAAGGAAAACTTCCGACAACATTTCCAAATTATTTTCTTGTTTAATATTGTGTTCAACTAATTATTAGATCAGTAACGCTAGAAATAGATAAAGTTACTTCCCTTGAACTGGCTCAGAGAAAATAGTGACACCTCTCAAAGAATCATCTTAAATTATGTTTCAAAGGTTGCTCATGGTTGGGACACATAGATTCTTGATAATATTTTGTTGATGAAAGAAAATTGTACAAAAATATACTTTTTTTTACTACTGAATGTAATTTGTACGAATTGATAAACAATCAAGTTACTTCCCTTGAACTGAGGACCATAACACTTGTGTCGCCTCTCAAAGCAAAATCTTTATATTACCGAATACAGGGACAAGTTTATGCACGTATTTTGAAATAAACTATGCCTTACCAATTACCTATTATTTTTGTGACATTTGATCTATTGTCATGACTTGTGTATTGGTTAATTTAAGTAAACATGACGGCCTATACCGATACCAGTGTAATTTTTCATCAAACTTTAATTCGAGCTTAATGTGATTTTTTAATTACAGGTTGTGAGGCTAGAAAGACTATCAGTGGACCTTCTGAAACCCCACACTATAACTTGGTCTTGATCTAATAAATACCTTTGTATGTAAAGTTGATAGTACTTGTTTAATGCGAAACATCACGATGATCTGCTTATACCAGATACTGAAGCACAAAATTCCCCAAGGATTGTTTTCAAATTGCTGTAACGTCAAAAAAGAGTCTACATACATTTATAATGGAAATGAAATGAATGGTGTTTTACGTCCTTCTTTTCTGCATCAGGGGGCCTCGGTCTATTGTCCCATCCGAACGACTAGACGCTTATTCCATGTCAGCCCCTCTTACCTGCATCACTGACAGGGGGAAATCGGGTTGAAAAATCCGAAGGTTTTATCTCTACCTATGCCGGGATTGAACCCTGGACCTTCAGGTTAGCGAGCAAGCGTCTAACTCACTGAGCCACCGCGGCTCCTCTATTTATAATGGAAATCGGTTGAAAACACAAGAGTTACATAATAAGAACTCTATGGTTGAAAACTAATGAAGAAAAGGTAAATTCATGGAAAAGGGGGTGACTCTGAATGAAATTGTCGAGAACTAGACAAACTCAATAGGGCTTTCGATATTTGATACCTTTATGATGCGCTGTTGGTGCAGATAATTTTACCACTTGTTTAGATTCTGGTTCTTTCTGCAGTTATCACCCTTTCAAAATATCCATCGGTAAAGATAATTTAATTCAATGAATTTCAAATATTTTATTGATGTTAGTGATATATATCAACTCAATGTGTAAAATCTACATTAATTACCCAATGGAAATAAAAAGCTAACTACGTTTAAATGTACTAATAAAAACGGTCACAAACCCATACCCTACATTAATGTCAAAATAGTTCCATAGCAGGAATGATAGTTTCTTATTAGTTTAATGCAAATTTCATTCTTAATGCTCAATCTACAAGCATTTTCTGGTGCATTTTGTTGAATATACACATCCCAACCATGGGCTAAATCGACAAGCTAGACCGATATAAGTTTTTATTTATTTTTCACAAATGAAGTAAAAAATATTCCATGACGATTTGTCCATGATCTACTTCGTTATGCTCAATCCACTTGATGGAATTTTAATACTTAGTTTATATTTTTTATTACATAGTTCTAAATAAGGTGGTAACTCTAAGGTAAAGACCATTGGGAACGAAAGATGACCTTCTGAAGTTGCTTTGACTCCATCTGAAAAGGAAAGATTTTCAAATTAATACGTAAATAAGCGTTCGTCCTACAGTCTTCAGACAAACTCGTCAGCCATTCCATCCAAAGTTTCGCGATAAGCAAACACAACGGGTGACAAGTGACCTGAAATTTCTTTTGCATGTGTATTTTCTCTTGTCCATCAGATGAAGGCCATGTGTGCGAGGGACGTCGATGGCAATGCTGTTTTAGAACAGTTTCCACCTTGTAATACGTGAAGGGCCCGGAACATGCTGATCCACTATAAATTGTCTCAAGAATCGCGCCCCACATCAACTGTCTGTAAAGTGGAAATACTTTGGACAGAAAATACAAGATTTCATCAGTGGAATAATATTCATTGCCGGGAAGCAAGGAAAAAAGTAGCTCAAATAGGAATTAGCTTAAACTGGCAGACATCAACGAAATGTATTGTTGCCTTTAGACTTAGACGTCAGGCAAGATGTCACATCAAAACACAAACGTACATTATTTTTATAAGCCCTGTTTATTTGCTAATTCTAAATCTACTTCTACTACTATCGGGAATTTCACAAATTCATTTCTTTGTGGTTGACTTTCTTTGACTTTATATGACTGAATATTGGATACGGCAGTGGTTGTATCTAACTGCAGAGCAGTACCATCACTTGTGACTTCTACCACTTCCAATCTTGGTACATCACCTGGAAACGACGAAAGAGGCAAAATTAGTATAGTTCAATACAGCCTAGTTGCTTCATATTTTTTAAATATATTTCCATATATATATACTGATATTTTGGCCTCATATCAATCGTTTCCAGGTGGTGGCAAGTGTACACCATGTGTCCTTATCCTTTTGGGTACTAGCTAGCTACAAATAGCTAAACACGATCATGTTCCCTGGGTTATATCAATTAAATAAATCCTAAATTGTGTCCCGAAACTTTCTATAATTATCTATTTTTTCAAGGCACATTGATGTCGTGGAAGATCTGGAGACTTCCGGTTGAGTCACACACAGTAATCGCGAGTAGGACACTTTACACGTACAGACGAAGCCTGTAAAACCCGAATTGTAAGTGATTTAATGTTATATGCCTATTTGCACTAGTTTCAAACAAAAACCATTTATAATAAGGTTATCATAACTTTATCAAGCCCTCTAGCTAATTTATACTGCACCATTAATGTCCATCATAGACAAAATGAATATATTTGTCGTCTGATGCAGCTAGTGCCGATTAAGAAACCCTCATAACGCCATATTTGACATGAAAATGTAAATTTTTAATATAGGTTATCTGGTAGCTGGTAATATTTTTATGCTTATCCCGTACATCATGCCTATTCTTTAATACGATTATCGATGTATCTTCACCTCTTTCGATGACGCAGACAGACATGTGGCGTGAGTCGTCCAGGATTTGTCAAGAATTCCAGAAGGTACTGAGAGTTTAAGTGCAAATTAAAATTAATTGAAATGGATGGAGTGGCATTGAGCAGGGCGACCACAACCACTTCTAGGCTGTTCGACTTAAGTTAAAAAAAACGGAACTTACTAGCTACTGATTCAGCATGAATCTTGGCTGCTGGTACAGGTGCACAAGATACATAACAAACACAAACTATCAGGAAAACAAGAGCTGTCCGAGGTGACATTTTGGTTGCTGAAATACAAGGACATAGATAGAAAAAAGAAGTCATTGGATGTGCGTCTTTACTTCTTGAACAGAGGACCTATTCAGTTTTCAGCATTTGCCAAAATAATTTTTGAAGAAGATCTTTCGAGTTGCATTGGTACACAAGATACATAACAAACACAAACTATCAGGAAAACACCTGCCCGAGATGACATTTTGGTTGCTGAAATACAAGGATATGGATAAAAAACCAATTTATGGAATGTGCTCATTCAATTGTATTGTATACAATACGAAGTTCTCGCAATCGCTTTCTTACCTAATAGTGGTTATCGTCCAAAGAGATGTTTATTACAAATTATGTGATACTTTAATCGTAAATCATTTTCCCAATCTATTACCAACTGTGGCTTTTATTTCAAAACATCTATATTTGTCTAGATAAGATCATTCATCATAATTAACACATTTTTTACAGTTTTTATCGTCCTGTGCATATGATTAAGATGATCAGTGGTTTCTTATTGATCTATCTAATCAATCATCCTTGTGCATTGCAATTCCATATTTTTTTTTAACTCAGTATATGAACTTTTATATATTAAGAAACCACGAACTCGAGTATGCCCATTAAGGTCGTTTTTTTCATGCATTATTTTAGCATCATTTGAGTGCTATACGGGTATTTTGTCATGAAAAGAAAATTGCTCTAAATGTTTGGTGTAAGAAACGTTGTTGAGATGCAAACTTCAAAACGTGGCTCGGGCATAGGCTCCTTTTTAGGGTAAATGAAGACTGAACAATGTACATTGTGAGAAAAGCCGCCACGGTTTCTTCCCCATCCTTACGACTTATACTTGTCACCTCCGACGACTAGCAACACTGATATGGGATAATCGGCTGGACAAACACTAATGTACCATCTCGTTTTATCCCGAGAGCAAACCACACCACCAAAGTAAGCGAACGGGCGTCTTACAGGGTCACGCTATTATAAAACAGGTTATTGAAATAACGGCCCTTACACTTCGTATTTTAAATTTTATGAAACATGATGGAAAAATATTTTTGAAACTATGAACATTTCGGACTACACCTTGTTTTAATTCGTTTTGTTATTTATATATAGAACAAGTTAAGTAATTTATATTTCCCATGTCACATAAAAGTCATTTATATACTAAGAGATTTATTAATAGACCACCGAAATATATAAAAAAAAGTTTGATGCTGCGGTGCATTGCCTTAGAGCATTTCCGGTTATACAACTTATTGAAATTATCTTTGAATAGTTTATTACCATATGAAGGACAAATATATTTATTGCATACGCAGATTTGATTAACGGAAAGTAATTTTTTATATTTAAGTACGAGTGACCGTGAGCATTTGAATTCGTTAAAACACCTCGTGATTAATGGTTATAACATCTTAAATTGAAGTCGTTATCCTACATCGTACTCATGTATGTCATCTTGTACCTAGAGTAGGACCTACGTGCTCGTCATTTTTTTCATCTTTCAGAATTCTTAATGCAATGTCGTGGTCAGAAGGGACACGCTAGGTAAAATATTAGTTTTTATGGTAAGCAATACCACGGTTTTATCCAGTTTCTTCAATGCTGAACCTCTGGATACCGCAATATTTCATCTCTACACGTATCATTTTAAAAGGAAATACGCATATTTAAATGAATATCATTTTCTGATACGCCCATTGTTTACTAAAAATTTAATTAAATTAAACAAAGGTTAATGTGTTCTTTCGGGATCAAGATAACAATCTATTCATACATCAATTACTTCTTTCTTATGGAAATTTGACACTTACTTTGATGTAAAATTATGTTGTTTCCTCTTTTCTTTTATCTTTTAGTAATTGGTGTACGTATTTAATATACAAGATGATCAATGTCACATATATAAAAGTGGTCGAAAATTGATAACTTTTGAAATATATATAAGCTTTCACAAAATACTTAAAGGTTGTTACCTACCCTTTTCTAGTATCCACCTCGCTAGTACCGACGAACGAATTCCACGTCCTTCACCCACAACCAACAACAGAAAAGTGACACGCTTGTCATGACATTCATAATTACATGTCCGAATTCTTCATTTATTTTTACCTTTATGGCGCAAGAGTTCAGTTGCACAATTGACACATGTAATAAAGGGTCAGATGTAGTGGGCTGTCAAATGGGGCATTTCAAATTAATATTCAAGACACTGACAAATGCAATTTTTTCACCCGTATTTGACAAAGTGCAGACGTTAGTTGCATTACTGTGGTTTGCATGCTAACGTTATCTTTTGATTTTTAACTATTGTGTTCATACGGGAACGGAATATTTGCGAAAATGTGATTTCTGGATAAAGTAATATAGCTCAACTTAAAAAGACTCCATTGCCATATAAATATGAAATGAGGTGTTATAATTTATGAACTAAGAAAATTTGATGAACATATTTATATTTAGAGCATTGAAATTAAATATTGTTGTCGCCAACATTTGTCAAACCAGTTATTGTAACATAGCCCAAGGGTATAAGTAATCCGAATGGATAATCACATCCTTCAAAAAAACAGCAGATAGTCTGAGAACCCAACGTATACATTAGAGTTAAGATGAATAGAGTTTTGCGTCCTACTTTTCTTTTTAATAAACAGTAGTTAAGATGGTGATCAGAACATAGAACCCAGAGCACTACTGTTCAGCAATTAAAATCTGCTCTTTTCTTTCATTTGTTGGTAAATCGAATTTTATTGAATATCTTTATAACCCTCAATACAATGAAAAAAGTTTTGTCGTCGTCACAATTGTCGCGATATAGACTACAGTTTTGACGAAACGTTGTAAACATATGCATATTAGCGAAATCTTGAACGAGTTCGAGGTTCGCAATTTTTCGTTCAACGGTTTTGAGTTATTGCCCTAGACAGAGTCAAAATTGATTCATGAACATGAAAGGGGATAAAGTTCTGAGTTCTATTAAATTGACAAACTTTTGTAAATTTATATCTTCTGTATCTCGGGCAAGCCAATTGGTTTCAGTTATTGTCTATCTTTAATCTGAAATCGGCCTGTGAATTGTTCATTGAGCAAAATCCCTGTTGAAGTTAATCAGGCAAATGGGTGAATAATACAAAAATAACATGAAATGATTTATTATTCAAGGGAAATAATAGGTTGATAAAAAAAAAGTGGATGATATAAACTGCTAGTCATAATAACAAAATAATAGCTAAGTTCACGATACAAAATGCAAATCATTTGGTGCACAATCATCTTTATTTTAACCAAATGTTAATGAAGGTGTTAAAACGGTTCTACTTAGAGTTTATATTACAAACTGCATTACATATTCAGTCAAAAATAAAAGATAGTTTTGCATAGCATTCATATTTTTCTAATACAAACATTTTTATGAATTTTAAACATTTACATTGTCCATATATCAAACATTTTTTATGCATAATAAACATTCATATTTTTCTAATACAAACATTTTTATGAATTTTAAACATTTACATTGTCCATATATCAAACATTTTTTATGCATAATAAACATTCATATTTTTCTAATACAAACATTTTTATGAATTTTAAACATTTACATTGTCCAGATATCAAATATTTTTTATGCATAATAAACATTCATATTTTTCTAATACAAACATTTTTTGAATTTTAAACGTTTACATCGTCCATATATCAAACATTTTTTATGCATAATAAACATTCATATTTTTCTAATACAAACATTTTTATGAATTTTAAACATTTACATCGTCCATATATAAAACATTTTTTATGCATAATAAACATTCATATTTTTCTAATAGAAGCATTTTTATGAATTTTAAACATTTACATTTTCCATATATCAAACATTTTTTATGCATAATAAACATTCATATTTTTCTAATACAAACATTTTTATGAATTTTAAACATTTACATTGTCCATATATAAAACATTTTTTATGCATAATAAACATTCATATTTTTCTAATACAAACATTTTTTGAATTTTAAACGTTTACATCGTCCATATATCAAACATTTTTTATGCATAATAAACATTCATAATTTTCTCATACAAACATTTTTTGAATTTTAAACGTTTACATTGTCCATATATAAAACATTTTTTATGCATAATAAACATTTATATACATAGTATATATATTATATATAAGACATTTTTATGAATTTCAAACATTTACAGTTTTCAAATATTAAACATGGTAATGTATCATAAAAATCTATATTTTTCTCATATCAAACATTTTTAAGCGTAAGAAATAGTTACATTTTTGCTCATGTAAATATTTGTATGAATTATTTACAATAACATTTTTATCATGATAAAAATAAACGTTATGCTCAATACATATTTACATTTATTACAAAAACATTTGTTGCACATGTAATTATTTTTTCAGTATATACATGTATGTAGCTTTTTCCTTTTCTAAATAATTATTTTTTCACTTTTTCGCATATCAAACAACTTTTTTTTTAATATCCACCTTTTTGTAAAGGTTGATAATAATGAACCGTGCTTCGTTAGCACAAAATCAGTATGCTGTTCCTAAAGAGTGAGAATTCCCTTATGGAAAATTATCTTGGAGTCACAACCCTTTCTCAGTCAAATGTTCTATTTTTTGCACACAAAATCGTTTTAAAAAGAATGGACCAAAACACTGTGTTTAAGTACGAAAGTTTTAATTATCAAAATAGTTTTTACATAAATAATTTAACATCTTTTATTCTGATACTTTCACCAATAGCCTATTGTTTATGCTTAGACAGGAATCTGAAATATAAACACAAGACAACGTGGGTTTAAAGTTTTATCAAACCGTTAATTTGCTTTAGAAACGAGTGTAGGTGGGGTATATGGAGTACGGTGTATGGAGTATTTTCAACTGTATAGATAATCCGTACCTCGTCTATTCCCACCTTAAACAAAACTCGATGAATGAGAGACTTGCATAGAGGAAAAGAAGTCTTGTCCATCTCGATTGAAAGTAATAAGTGTTCATAAGGTCACCGATCCGGGTAAGACAACAACCCAGAAGTTGCTATAAATCCGAAATTTTCACATAAGTAAACTCGCCATGTCAATTGCCAAGGATAGGGAATGCATATCTGGCTCTGTTCTGTAAAAGAGATCGCAGTTTAGCGATGGTGATCTTTTTGTATCTTAAGCACAACCTTGATACAAAACTTCGTCATATCCATAAATACCATCAGAAATGCGATAGCGCTGCAGGGTTTCAGTCTACATACATATATATATCATGCCTTACCTGTATTTTAGATAACGACATATTTTCTAACTGCATTGTTTTGATGTCCAGAATGACCAGCAAGAATACTTCGAATGACATCAGCAACTGCAGAAGCATGATCATTTGCTGGAAGATTGGTACCAGTAACCTGAGACATTGGAACATTTTGGACAGTATTACCAACAGTTACTGTTTGACCAACTGTGTTCATGCCTTGGTATTGTTGTGGGTACTGTTGTGACATTGGGTAACCTTAGAATGTAAAGAATATTATAAAATAATGTGTAAGAGCATACATTTTGGTAGAATTTATTCTGACATATCCAATTCTATCCAACTAATAGCATCAAAATTCGGAAGCTACAACAGCAATGAAAAAGACTAAAAGATTAGATTTTATGTGTAATTTCAAATGTTGAGATATATTTATCAGAAATAAAGTATGATTAATACTCACTATTATAGCCTAGAAAACCGTATCCATTGTTAAGCCCAGTCAGCATGTTCATCTGGTATCGGTTTTGAACTGCATCCATATAATTATCTCGTGAGAAATCATACATATCATAATCGCTCATACCATATAATCCACCTCCATAGTTTGGTTGGACGTAATTATTGTACATATCAGTTGACATAGCATGATACACTAAAGAAAAAAGAAACTTATATTAAAAGAAATCATCCCTTAGGTAAATTAGGACTGGAAGGTTCATTCCGGACGACTTAAAATCTAGCCCATGCTGACCCTCGAGGTTATCATCTTAACCCTTAATGAATAGATTATCGAGCATGCGGTCTCAGATTATTTGAGACACAATGATCAGAATTATTTAGCATGTAATCTGTTTTAGAAATATTGAGTTCGTTTGTCTAAACACAAATATAATTTGCTATGCGAGGGTGTGCATATTCTCTTTTTAAAAAAACACATTAACCCGCGTTTTACCTTCAGATACTACAGGAACAACAATTACCAGACAAACCAATAATTTTACAGCAACCATCTGAAAAAAATATATATTCAACGTGATGATTCTTCAGTACCCCTAACAAATGTAACTAATTGGTTCAGTCTATTATTTACTTATTTGGGCATTGTTTAATAACTGTTCAGAATGGTCGGATTAAAACCCAAATGATGCGAATGGCCCGAAACTGGCCTTAAAACACACTTCATTTGAATACGCCATCTTCATTCTTATATACAAAAGATATCACCATGCCAATATCCCGGTTACTCACAACTAACTCATATCCAATAATTTATCTATGAATTTACACCTTACCTTTGTAACCTTTAGTATTCCGTTAGTGTTTAAACGTTTGTGTAGAATAATCGATTTAAGTTCGATCTTTCGATTTTATACACATCTGCACACCATATTTTCATGATTGACATGTGATATTAATGTAGTATTACACAGCGATTATGATTTCTAACCGTAAATCAAACCATCAATGATGCAAGATTAATGTTGGATTATCATACGTCAAGTTTCGCCACCTCTCTGATAATCTCATGGATATTACACCATGACTCTCAGTTTGGAGCTTCTTGACGCTTCTGGAAATATTTGAGGTGTCATTTGTTTCACGATGGGAAATTCATAACGTTTGGAGGTTAGACTGAAATTGATCGTGTTTTAAGAACCACGGCGTTGCCATTATTTCAAAGGCCCTATAATATATGAAAACAAGTCGAAATATGAAAAACTTATATTCGGGTGTACATCAATAATATAGTCAGCTTTAGGTAGTTGGTCATGAGACATCGTCTCTTCCAATATTATTTGATACGTCAATGTGGTATATAGGACGATGACCATGGGAATAATTCTACTTTAACTACATCCCTTTTTCGAAGGCCGATAATATTTTTTTCTCAAATTTATGAAAACCTATCACCAAGACCTTTGACTTAACGCCAAAACTTGTTTAACTGTTTACGTAAACTTTTTAAGTTCGTTATACTATTTGGGAGGTGTTGAAAAAAAACTATTGTGCGGATTTTGCATATTTTTTAATATTTCCAGGTATTATATACGACGCTTTTGATCATGAAATTTTAATTAAATCTCTTGTACAGTTTGTAAATTTGGAATAAGTCATATTTTCCTTAACTCAGAACTGGATTTCTAGATTTGGCCTCGACATTCATATTAACAAAAGTGGATAAAACATTTTGGCCTACTTCACATGTCAGATGATAGGCCCATCAAGATCATAATTACCATGTGAAATATTTGACAGCCAGTTATCCGGTCTGTCTTACAGTAATATATAATGGACCCTAAGGCTCCATAATGATTCGCTTGATGTAATGTGGACATCAATCAATTTATTATAGGGTCTCAACAGATACTTTATGGCTTTAGTATGTTTATCATGGCCTCTTCCAGTGGCTCAACTATTATAGGGACAGTTTGAACCAAGTCCACGGTTGACTCTTCTGGTGATTTCCCAAATCCGTATGAGTTTGAATCCGCATGCGTTTGAAATTTCTTCATACTCTATCATATATAGAAATCGATTGTGAAATTCCTAGTTTGAGGGATTTCGTACACTTCTAGTACATCTGAATACTATTTATATTTATTCAAGACACACCACCCCCCGAAAATGAAGAACCCGCCCTTAAAGTTTCTGAGTTATAGGTAAATTTCATATAATTTCAAGTCATGATTCCCATGCATACATCAACCCCAGTCTAGGCACACAACATTTGAGACTTCGCGATGAAATAAAATTCATAATTCAATACTTTTTTTTTATTTTAGCGCCATTATTTAACAATAATTATTATACAGTTTTATAGTATACATAACATAATCTCATACATAAATTATTGAAGGGCTTGAGAACTATTTCAGCAAAACAATCCATAGTGTGAAAGCGATCACAAATGAAATGTTGAAATGGAATTATAAGAGAAATAGATAGAAAATCAGAATTGTTTAGAAGCCAGAGAGTCCCTGGTACACATACAAAGGTTAGCAATATCTAGTGTGTTTTTTCTGAAAAAAAAACAATTGAAAATGATACATTCAAGTTATAATGATTGACTAAAAACAAAAAGAAAAACTGACTGAATATCAAAATGTATTGTGGCAAAATGACAGTTTTCAGTTCAATTTTTAATCATTTTCTTAGCTAATTTAAATTGTGTTAAATGAAATTATTCAATTAAAAAATATGATCGTTCCATCTTCAATCAAAGCAAATATTCTATTTTACTGCTTATACTTTAAATTTTTAGCAAAGTTCACAAATAAATATTGACCGAATATCAAAACAATTTTTGAGATGAAATGACAGTTTTCGGTTCAATTTTTTTTAACTGGTTAAGATATACGTTCCCATATTTTCATTTATGAAAATGGAAATGCTAATACTTATAGTTTTTCTCACATGTCCATAATTTATTCATAATTAGCTTAATTAGAAGAGAATTACCAGCATAATTCCAATGAGTGACCGGTCAAGAAAGGTCAAAAAGTATTTGTTTATCCAGACTGTACATACATGGACATTTACGACTGGTTAAAACTCTTAATTATATGCAATAAGGACATAATGATATTATTAAGAATACATGATAATTCATTAGAAACACCAATTAATCAAATAGTTTGCTTAATTTGACACTAAAAAATAAGGAAACCCATCTTTACGGTGGTACATAGGTGAAACCATAAATACCTTTTTAATTATTTTTATGCACACAATTAAAATAATCTAAATAAGTTAATCTTGTAGAGGTTATTTTTAGGTGATTTTTTTAGTCTAAAACAATGTTTAATCGAGGCAGAATTAAACCATCCAATTGAAAAATTGGATATAGGCATTTCCAGTTACATTTTTAGTTTTTAGTTATCAAAACCATAAATATTCAATTGAATTGATGGACAATAATATCAAAACATGTTCCCAGCTTCAAAACTGACCGAATATCAAATTCTACTTGTGATGAAAATGACAGTTTTCAGTTCAGATTTTAACTAGGTAAGTCTTGTAAAATTGAAACCCCAACTCGTGAACTAGCATTGGCTTTAAATCCCACAATTTATCATTGGGCACACAGGCGATCCGCTGGATTAAGTATACCAGACGAATATTTGATTTTGTGGGTTGTGTCAATACTAATGAAAACAAAATGGCAAACCAGCATTTGTCGACATGCAAAATAATCGACGTATAGCATCAATTTGCACCATTCCAATATCCCTGATACACATAGTTTTTTTTTAGAGAACCTTTTTAAAGATGAGGTCCCTTATTTTCATTTAATAATATTTATATATTAGAAAGTAGAGGTGTTCTATGAATTCATGATTAGTTAAATTAGAGGAGAATTAACTACACAATTCCAATGAATGACCGATCAAGAAAGGTTAAAAAGTCTTTTTTTTTTTGTTTATCCAGACTGTACATACATGGACATTTATGATTGGTTAAAACTCTCAATTATATGCTATAAGAACATAATGCTATGAATATGAATTACATGACAATTCATTAAAAACACCAAGTTATCAAATAGTTTGCATAATTTGACACAAAAAAATAAGGAAACCCATCTTTACAATCCTTGTAAAATTCATTGTACTGCAATACTGTAAATATATCAATTAATTAAAAATTTAAAATAAATCTCTGAATGGTGTTTGATCTAGTGTCTTGGTTTTTCTGCATAGAACAATCCCCATCGTTGATCTCCATCGCCTTTACCAACTCTTTTGACCTTATCTGTCCAACCCTCCACAATATCATTATAATTCTTCTCACCAAATTCCTTTTAATACAAAATAAGAACATTAAATTTTGCTTTGAAATGATTTTGATTTGAAAAAGTAAACGCTTAGCGTAATCAGGCTAGAATCTATTATTTCAACGATAAAGATATTTTATATATTCGAACTGTTTGGAAATTTTTTTATACACCAAATTAAGACTGTTTGCAGCAGTACTTCTCAACCAGGCTCCATATATGTTCCTTTTTTGCTGGAAGCTGTTCGGATGAGACAATAAACCGAGGCCCCATGGGCTACAGGTTGTGCACGTTAAAAATACCTCGACAGTTGGAAATCGAAAAGGGTAGGCTATTGCCGCTGTCCTAGCAAAATTTCTCTCATTGCACCCTGCGTTGCCTGTCTTCCGTAGGTCACATGGTGTAGAAAAGTAGGACGTGAAACTCCATTCATTCAATTTCAAACAAGGGTCTACCACAGTTGCTGCTAATTGTTGATGAATAGATAGTGAAAGAAGAGGCTACCAGAAGGCTGTGAATCTTACCTCTATGAATTCATCTTTTATACTCAATGTTCGTTCTAGTTCACTTCTTAAAATTTCACCAAAAAGCACAGTCTTATCTTCAGCCTTAACGTTTACCAGACCTGCCTTTTCTAGTACCTAAAATATAATTTCAGATTAGGATCAGGCGTACACTTGTAAATCTACTGGAACTGGTGATAAATGATACAATTGCAGCGCGAGTGGGGGTACAGCGGTGAATCCCCGCTCTAGAAATGGTTTTCACCCCCAATTTTTTAAGATATAATTTTTTTCTTTAAACCATCTCAGATGTTCCATGAGAAGCTTGCAAATGTGACACCTCAACAAAGCCTCGACAGTCTGCCCCCTGTTCGTACCCCCAGTCTCGAGAGGCTGGCGCCGCAAATGCGTTGATAGTTATATTCAAAATCAATTCGAATTCAATTATTGCAATGAGGCAAGGAATTCTTGCCTAATAGAAAAAAAATACCCAGTTACGACCATGTCCAATCATAAACTGACGCAAACTTCTATGCAAATTTATACCTTTCCATATTGGCTAGGATTTAACAAATTATATCCCCGCTGTTTAACATAGGCTTTAAACTCTTCAGAATGATCACCTTCTTTGCAGCAATAATCAGATATCAAAATTTTACCACCGGGTTTCAACCATTTCTGTATAATTGAAATGGAATAGAAGTTGTATGTTAAATGGACATTGCTGTATTAAGATGTAGATAGTTAACTTCCGGATAGACTCGGCTCGTATTTACAGAGAAATACAAAGTCTTGCTTTTGTGATTGTGGCTATCCATAGAAGAAATGCATTTCTGATTGACGCCATACTGTGTGCATTTAGGGAAATTTTGAATTTAAGGAACACTTCGGCCATATTATCTCAAATACGGACTGCTTATTCTAAGATGAAATAAAAATATGAGAAATGTTCGACAGGTGTAGTGAGATTTTGAACGATTGCGCTTTATCACAGTGTGATTGGAATGCACGTTCTTATAATAAGTGTGCCATATAGCCTACAGCCGTGCAAGTACAAAACCTCTTATTACACAATGGCATGATCCAAGAACAAATATTACGCGAAATAGGAAATGACGTCATAAAAATGGGATTTCCTAAAGTCAACAAACACGATATTTTGAATGTTACAAACAATGACTTTTTGCCTTCTAAAATGAAATTAGACACAAGTGTATTTTTAGCACTGTTATGGTGTTCCTACAGAATCGGTACGTTTAATTCAATGAATAGTGATCAATATAACATAGAAATGTGACATTTTGAAATAACTTTCATTAGCTGTTTCAAGGGAGGTAATGGCTATCTTGTTATGATGTCGAAGGTTTGAAAACATTTTTGTTAAAGCTGGTACAAGATATTTAAACGCATGAAGGGCCTTGTGAAACGTAAATATAATTTATATTGAATATTTCTAGCTGACTTAACAGTTGTTTTTTTTTTTAATCGACTTAGCAATTGATAAAACGTGACTCTTCGTTAAGGGAGGACACAAATTAACCGTGCTGAAATTCGCATACACATTCATCTAGCATACCGATTCAGATCAAACCCATACCAGCATACAGAATTGCGGCAAATCAAATGAAAATGAAATGTGGATAATTATAAATCTACTTGGAAGCAGGCCTACTCTATTGCATAGTTTTAAATGATATTCGTGGTAAAAATTCAATCACTCACATAAAATCGTTGGAATAACTCGAGCTTTTCTTTGATATGTAGAATCGCATCCCGACTGTAAATAGCATCGAAACTATTGTCTGGATAATCTCTTTTAGTGGCGTCAGCTATTTCAAAGACAACATGATCGGGTGGAATACCTAATTCTTCCGCTCTTTCGTACCCTATACTGGTCATATTAGATGATAAATCTATGGATACCACTTTTACACCATAATTCTGCAGAAATAAAGCATGTCGTTTAAAGATGGGTTTCCTTATTATTTAGTGTCAAATTAAGCAAACTATTTGGCGTTTTCCAGTGAATTATCATGTATTTTTAATTATATTATTGCATATAGCTATGTACATGTATGTAAGTCTGGATAAACAAAAAAATGACTTTTTGACCTTTTTTGATCGGTCACTCATTGGAATTCTGGTGGTAATTCTCTTCTAATTTAGCTAATTATGAATTAATTATGGACATGTGAGACAAACTGGTGTTTTTCCTATTTATTCTACTTTCTATTCATATATTATTAGTATTAGCATTTTGATTTTCATAAATGGACACTAAAGATTTTAAATTGTTTATTTGTGAAATCACAAAAAATTCTACTTTGGACCTGCAGTGGTCTGACACTAATCGGACATGTTGATCCGGATTGACTGAATGTGAAATGGCATTGAATACCTGAACCATGTAGAAAGCACTTCCACCAATTCCCCCTCCAACATCTAAAACTCGTTGACCAGGTTTTAAATCTAACAATTTAACAAAGTCCTGCGGATGGAAAAAAGAAAGCCATGTTTTAAAGGGACAAGATAAGATTTGAAAGACATTTAGAAGTGGAGAGTAGATATAACAGAAAACACAAGGGGAATATTATGGTATAACTCACTTCTTTAATAACAAAGCACATAACGTTTCAACACAATTTTCACGTGTCGTCATCAGACACGTTATGTGCTTTGTTATTAAAGAAGTGAGTTATACCATTATGTACCCCTTGTGTTTTCTGTTATATTTTATAAGGACAATTCGTTTGTCCAATTATACCATCAGAAAAGGGAATTTTGAGCTAATCGAATCAGTAATAGTGTTCACAGCTCAGCTCATTATCACAATTTGTGTTCAAATCCATATGTGTCAAGAATTATTCGCGTTTGAAAATTAAAAAGACAATTCGTCTTTTCTTTGCCTTTTAGTGTTTATTTCATTTTCGTAAACTTACTTTGGTTGTTGATAAGCCACCGGTACTAACGAAAGTACGACCGAATACCTTTTCGTACCTCAGAATACTATTTTTGGAATATTGCTGGCTATCTAGGAATTCTTGGAATGTCTTGAAACCATGGTTTTCCGCTTTATCACGTTTGACTTTCTGCAGTAGCCACACTCTTTGGTCTTTGTTATTCTTGTGCTGTAATCGTGTGTTTCATTTCATTAATATTTGCCACCTTTCGCAACACGAAAAGCAGAGTATTTTCGGAATCGAGAATAAGAGGAGTTTTAATATTGTTTTGTATTGGGTCAATAAAGATCTCTCTCTTGTGAACACAGCACACTCTCATGGATTGCGATTTTTTTTATCATGCAGCGTCTATAAAACATTTGGCCTCTGTTGACTTTAACCCTTTGATTAAACCTTCATCAAAAGACCTGGAGGGTCAAACATGGTCCTCTTATTTCATTATCAAGCATATCTTGCTTATGTAAATTGTATACAATTGTATATCTCGAGAAACCATATGCCTGACCAAAAACTACAGCCAAAATGCAAGAGAAAATATTTCCAATTGTCCTACCTTAATGTAGGTAACAACTGCTGTTGAAAAAACTAAATCAAAACCATAATTGTGTGTTTCGTCATATGGAATATTAGCTGCCGAGAACATAGCATCATATTTAATGTCTTCTCTATAGTTTGTTGGATTGTTTTGTCTTGGTTTGTTACCTGAAACGAATGGCTTTGAGATCAAGATTTCAACCAAATTTGAAGTTTCTTAGAAAAAGTGGAATCAAATGGGATATACCCATTATATACTTTAATGGTGTTATTTTAGATGTTTCTTGAAGTTGGTGTTGGTAACGTTAGTGTTGATGCTGATGTCTATCCAGAGACCCAAATACCATGTCAGATGTTGACACCGGGTGATCCAATTATTGACCTCGAAAATCAGAATAGGACCAAAACTTAACACAGCAATTGTGTTCAAAATGTCGCACCCAACTTACTGTCTATTGCACGACTCGAAATTTATCTTGTGAAATTGTGTTCAAAAAACACACATATCATTTAAAATTGTGTCCAATAAAACACACATATGATGTAAAATGATGTCCAATTAACACACATAAAATACAAATTGTGTTCAATAAACCACACATAAAAACACATACCATGTAATATTGTGATCAATAAACGCAATACCAATACACGTAACAGACAAATTGTGTTCAATAATCGACACATAACATATACATGTAAATTGTGTTCAATCGTCGAAACATAACTTACACATACCATGCAATATAGTGATCAATAAACTACCCGTAACATACAAATTGTGTTCAATAATCGAAACATAATATACACATACCATGTAATATTGTGATCAATAAACCATCCGTAGCATACAAATTGTGTTCAATAATCGACACATATTATGTAAATTATGTTCAATAATCGAAACATAACATATAAATTGTGTTCAGAGTAGCATACCTGACTGTCTATTGCACGACTCTCTGATAAACACATGACCACCTTCTTTTAACCAACGTAACATTTTATTGTAAACAAGTTGGACCTCGTCATCTTCTAAATACATAAACAACCAGTTTGAAAACACTATATCTACACTGAAATATTAAAAAAAAATGTTACGTATTCAGTAATGGGTACCGGTATTTTAAATATCAAAGTATTCATTTCTGAATTTGTTTCTTCTCGAATATAGATATGCCTTATGGGAGTATTTACTGATACTAGTCAAGATATTACAGTGCTATGGCGTTTGAGAAAATCTCTTCATAACGAACTTGCATTCATATTAGATACAAGTAATAAGCAGTTATTCGTAAATGAATAATGCGCCGTTTATAGCTAAATGGTTTTCCAATTGAATGATCTATGCACACACGACACAAATGTCAGAACTTCTACCGCAGATAACTTAACTTCAACTTGCATTGTGCCCAGTGCCATTTTCTCGTATACTGTGAATCTTCTAAATTCTATTTATGTAACAAACCTGGCATCTGGCAATTCCATTTTAGTGACATCCTGGCACTTGAAGTCTATATTGCGCATATGGTTGTTCAGTTTCTTATTTTTTTCAATAAATTCTTCCATAAAATCAACGGCCACAACATGTTCAGCTTTCTGGGCTAAGACATTTGTAAAGCGACTGTGAATGAAAGTAACAGATAAAAAGAAATGAAAATTGCTTAATCAGCACCCCCAGAATTGGCGTTTCACCATTCCCACTGGGACAATCATTTTACGAACGGTACATATACAAAATGATTTTTAATGTCTTCATACAAAATATAAGAAAGTTAATGCGATTCTCAGTGATTGTCGAAGTGACTGACATGGAAAAGTGTCTAGTCTTTCAGATTTGGCTCCTTTTGCAGGCGCTACATGTTGCCCATGAGCATATCTTCAAATTTTTCTTGAAAGCATGGGCTTGTGTTTGATTTGTAAATGAGCATACCCGATTCCAGCACCAAGTTCCACCATTCTTTTATTAGCAACGTCTGGTAAATAGGACATGATTTCTGGTACTTCATCTTTTGACAACTCTTCAGCATTGGAGTCTAACATCATCGTCTGAATGGAAGCTTTCTGGGCATGGTCTTTCCAGTATTCAGACATAATTTCACGAACTGGAAATTAAAGAGAATTATCATGTCGATCTGCTTGAGATTTCGTCACGGCCGAAATAATAAAAAGCAGTTTGAAGGATCCACTTTTATTCTCAGCCGATTATTTTCCAATTTGCTTCACACTATCAAATATAACATCTGCATAAAGGCTGTTGTGTGATATTGACAATTTATATGAAAGGGTTTTCCAGTGTTTAATAGGGGACATTTTTTCTTGTATTGTTTCAAGTAAGGGGGTGTTAAAGGACATGTGGAGGTGATTTACGTCCGGAATCATATTTTGGAGGGCTAGAATCTACGAATTTATTTGCATTCATAATGAAAACTAAATAGCACTGCAAAGAATTTGAAATGACGTGGATTAAGGAAGCTTAAATCAAAGTAGATTATGACATGGGTCATGATAGTATTGTCATTCAACTTGCCGTTGCAACCTACCACCTCCGGAGAGGTGTGGACGTTACATTAATGCATCCATTAGCCCCCAATTAACGTTCTGTTACTTGAAGCTAATCTCTCATTTTAAATTTGCCTTGATGATTATTGTATGCCCTTGTAATGGAACACATCATGGAAGTTTTGAGGAATTGTTTGATATTTAGATATTGTAAGTGAACCGAGCTGGGATATTTTTTCGAAAAGTAGTAAAGGTATGGTCTTTTTGCTTTGTTCAGCTATATTTTAGATCTATCAAGACGAGACGACATTGTCAGTTTCAAGTTTGAAAATTTAATTGGTATTTTGCCTTATTATAGTGTAGTTAACATACAAGTTATTGCACTAGGACAAGTTAGTAAAAAAATATCTGCATTGAAGCTGAATTTGAACGTCACGTGAACATTAAACAGAAAGAGCGAAAAACACTTACTTTAAGAAAGCTGATTGTTCCTGATGTCCAATGAACAAACCTTTCGTTACACTCAATGACCCATTTTGATTGTACAATGATATACATTAATAGCTTCTATTATCTCATTTTGAGGTCACTTTATGCTACGTCTCCTACACTGATCAAGTAAAAATGTGTGATCCCCTACAGGGGGTCCAGATATAAGACTTGCGCGGTTTTGAACCCCAGTTTCATATTGAGTTCGTATGCCTGGTGTTGTTTGAGCTTCGGCAATATACTATCAATCATAAAAGAAAATGCTGATATGTACAATTTCCATATTTACTGTATAGTTCAATATGTATGTAGGTCACTACACGTAGGTCATTATTAACCAGGCCATATTATTTGTTAAAACGTTGTCATGTGTTGGAGATGTTTCATTCGAAATAAGGTATCTAAAGCTGTATCAAGCAGAAACGGAAACAGAAAACAAAGAGTGATTTGCCAGTGAAAGTTGCTTGCGAATAATTGTACTGACTTACCAGTGGATCATTCAAGTACTTGTGAGAAGTAATACACATAAGACACATATATTACTATATATAATAACTATAACGAAAGAGTACCCGAATAAGCTTCATGTATATATGCAGAACAATATGTTGATAAACATAAGATACATGTATGATTATAAATGTTTTGAAAGAAAAGTTGATTAACATACGATACATGTATTATTATAATTAAATAGAAAGGGGAAATGATTAACTTAAGGTTACACGTATTATTGTAATTGTATCGAAAGATAATTTGATTAACATAAGATACATGTATTATTATAACTATATTAAAACAGAAGTTGATTTACATAAGTTACTATACATGTTTTATTATAGCTGTATACAAATAGAATTTTATTAACATAAGATACGTGTATTATTATAACTGTATAGAAAGAGAAGTTGATTAACATAAGATACATGTATTATTATAACTGTATAAAAAGAGAAGTTGATTAACATAAGATACAAGTATTATTATAACTATATTGAAATAGAATTTGATTAACATAAGATACATGTATTATTATAACTATATTAAAACAGAAGTTGATTTACATAAGTTACTATACATGTTTTATTATAGCTGTATACAAATAGAATTTTATTAACATAAGATACATGTATTATTATAACTGTATAGAAAGAGAAATTGATTAACATAAGATACATGTATTATTAGAATTGTATAGAAGAAAGAGAAGTTGATCAACATAAGATACAAGTATTATTATATCTGTATAGAAAGAAAAGTTGATTAACCTAAGATACATGTATTATTATAATTGTATTGAAACAGAAGTTGATTTCAATCTGCTTGATATAGAATGATAAATTCATTTTAATTGTTTTCATTGCGGAAATATCAGAGTATAAGCTAATCTGGAATAAATTGATACATACCAGTATTGGATTGACTCATCACCAATTTTCTTTCGTCGGTTATCACTTGAGAGGTACTTACATAAGTCGAGTGTTTAATTTAGTTATCAACTTTACATATTATATACCTGTCCAGTATCTCTTCAAGTTATCACTTTCAGATAATCATTTGATAAGGGTGTGAACGGAGGGTGCCCTTTGAGCAAAGCAAAAATATGTAGATGTGGAATTTAACAGCACATTGATTACCGATGCAATATCGGCTGACTTGTCAAGTATTTTTGAATGTCGGGATCATATGACATGGAGTCTGTTCCTTGAATGACCTACATGCTTTCACGGTTGCACATTCTTGATAAGCTCATTGACTTGTCTGTTGTCGCGACTGGTGAAATGAGGAAACTTGTGTCTGATTTGCTAAAAAAGGGGCATGGAATGTCAATCAAATTCTTAATGTCGCGTAGAGTAGATTTCAAAATTAGTCATCCATCTACTTCAGTACCCGACGATAAGCCAGGGCGGCCATCTGAAAGTGCCAAATTAGCTCTGATGGCAGAAAAGTTGCGGATCCACACACCACTGTAGTTAGTTTTCGGGGAAGGGAAGGGTTTGATTATCCATGCCAGGAATGGAACAAATACTTCATTGAAAAATTGGAAAAAGTGGAACTTGGTGTGAGTCTTTGCTATCATCCAAGGATGAAAATCAGAAAAATCGAAAAATATTTAGTGTGAGTTATTGCCCTTGTTCTTGAAAACGCGTTCAATTTTTAGATCGTGAACACTCTAAAAGGCACAATTCTTGACGGATTTTGAAGAAACTTTGTGTGAGTGTTAGTAATCACCAAAGGATGAACCCTATTGAAAATCAGAAAAATCATATGTTATTATCCTTGTTCTTGAAAATGCGTTCAATTTTTAGCTCGTAAACACTCCAGAAGGCACAATTCTTGTCGGATTTTGACAAAACTTTGTGTGAGTGTTTATTATCCACCAAGGATGAACTTTATCGAAAATTAATAGAATCTAAAAATATTTTGTATGAGTTATTGCCCTTGTTCTTAAAAACACGTTCAATTTTTAGCTCGTAAACGCTTTAGAAGGTTCAATTATTGACAGATTTTGACGAAAAAAGGATGAACCCTATTGAAAATCAGAAAAATCGGGAACTTATAAGTATAAGTTATTGTCCTTGTTCTTGAAAACGCATTCAATTTTTAGCCCATAAACACTCTAGAAGGCACAATTCTTGATGGATTTTGACGAAACTTAGTGTGAGTTTATGTTATCAACCAAGGACGAACCCTACCGAAAATCAGAAGAATCGAAAAATATTTAGTTTGACTTATTGCCCTTGCTTAAAAACGCATTCAAGTTTTAGCCGTTAATTGGATGAAACGTGGTAATAGTATACAGTATCGCTCAAAAAATTCAAAAGAAGGTATGACTGAAGGTTGAATATTTCATACTGGTGATTGTTACTGTGCTGCCAAATATTTTATTTTAAATCAAAGCTGCCATTGAGCGTATATTACCTTGCCTGGCAAGTTATCTTTACAAAATATATCGTATCAAGGCCCTTCACACATTCCAGATATTGTTCGCCGACTTTTTATATCGAAAAACGCAGACGTTCGTTTTGTCTTCAAGGTAAAAAAAGACATTTCTTTCTAAATACTTTACCCGTTACCACTTAACTAACTTCTAATTTTCTTGTAAAAGTTTTATCTGCCACCAAATAGTTAAACAAAGGTCAATATATGAGTGAGTGAAAACCTTATCAGATTAAGATGTAATTTGCAGTGGAAATTTCCCTGCACATGTTTTCGAGTAAAAATTTTTCAGGGCTCAGCTTAGTTTTTACTCCATTTCATATTGCCCTGCACACCAAGAAAAGATAAAATTTGAAGATAAATGTGATAATGCTAGAAACTTTGTACCCTTTGGAATACATTGAGTTTTCTTTGATACAATTGGTTATGCACGTGAAAGAGCTACTACAGCCCAGCTAAGTATGAAAAAAGATTTATGGTCTCGGACTGTTGAGGACAACAAAACGCCGTTCATTTATACCTATATGTATTTTACAGTGCTTAATCACTTTTTGAAAAATTTCATTGAAACCAATTTTACAGAGTTCAGATTGAGTGCATCCCCTGGAATATTTTGTGGCCCCTTTAGGTCATCTGAAGTTTCATAAAATTGTTCAGGGCTAACGACCAGTTTTCATCCTGTCCTGTTTGGTGCTGGTGGAGATATTACCTTTAGATTTTCCGACCCTGTTCCCGCTGTCCCTGTCAGTGGTGGGTATCCATGGGGTTGAGATGAAACAAGCCTCTAGTCGTTCAGTGGGACAATAAACCCATGCCATGTGTCTTCAGAATGAACACAAAACCCTCTTCAATTTATTTGAAAAGTAGTAGGTCTGATAGCTGATGTACTAGAAGAACTTCATTCATTGCACACTGCATGACATTGCCAATTTCATTCCCAGGAAACTATTTCAATTTTTGTGAATACAAAGTTTAAAGATGAATTCCCTTATTTTCATTTATGAAAATGAAAATGCTAATACTTATATGAATAGAAAGTAGAGGTGTTCTAATGACTTGGACTTCATCATCAGCTAAATTAGAAGAGAATTACCAGCAGAATTCCAATTTGTGACGATTAAGAAAGGTCAAAAATACCTTTTTTTGTTTATCCAGACTACAAATACCTGGACATTTCTGATTGGTTAAAACTATTAATTATATGCAGTAATTATATATAATTAATGATAATGATATGACTAAGAATATATGATAGTTCATTAAAAACACCATTACTTCAAATAGTTTGCTATTTGGCCCCCTGAAAAATTCAGATGAAGCTGGGCTAGCTACCAGCCTAAATCCGTTTATGTCCATTTTAAGACGTAGCAGTCCTTTAAAAGCCCAACTCTGAGTTTTGCTGGAATAAGAACAAGCTAAATGAATTAACTTTCAATTTATTTATATATAGAATATTTTACAAAGAGAACTAGTATGATCAAGTGTTCAACTTTTATCAGGAACTGCCTGGTTCAGCTATCAAAAACCTGAAAAAAAAAAACAACTTTAAATGTCTCAAAATTTAAATAAAAATAAAAAAACCTTGAACGCGTAACTTATGTGTCACTTATGTTGGTATATGTCACTTATGTTTGTATGTGTCACTTATGTTGGTATATGTCACTTATGTTTGTATGTGTCACTTATGTTGGTATATGTCACTTATGTTAGTATAATGTTGGTATGTGTCACTTATGTTTGTATGTGTCACTTATGTTGGTATAATGTTGGTATGTGTCACTTATGTGTCACTCACTTATGATGGTACATGTCACATCAAGTGGTATGTGTCCCTTATGGTGGTATGTGTCATTCATGGTGGTATGTGGTGTCACTTGTATTGGCATGTGTTACTTATGGTGGTATGCACATCACTTATATTTGTATGTGTATACTTAATTGTAAACATAGTTTATATTTGAATTAAGTACATCTGCTTGGAAAGCATTTATTTAAGGAGACCATGAATAAGTTATCTTTCCTCATCATTCCAGTCAAACAGCTTTAAATGGGTACAAATAATCTGGGAAAGATCAATGCTAGGTGCATAGAACAAAGAAGGGATCCTCATGAATGCTGTCTTAATCCATTTTAAAAATACATATATATATGATCTCACCATTTAGAGCGAGCTGTGACAGCTTCATTTCGTACCAAACGTTTTTTATCATCTAGAACTTGTACTAAAGATTTGATAACAGTATTTCTATATGGTAATATCAGATGACTTGGTAAATGACTGACTGTATTTAAACATTTTAAAGCTGATATTCTGATTTTCTGAAAAGACAGTTAAGTATGGTGTTATTGAACTGTTATCTTATCAAACTATATTTAATTACATTTCTCATTCAGTTGACATATCAATCTCATAGAAATTTGCTGATTGTCAAAATTTTTCAATAAATATACCAAATTACAATATGAACTCTGGAGCCTTAATCTTGTAACGAGGTTAAGTATTACAGTTGTCTGATTGGATAATAAAACTTATCTTAAAATCAATTCAAAGGGATTGTAAAGATTGTGGATCAGGGACACTGAAAGCATCAATTTGCACCATTCCAATTTTCGGTCAGACGTCTGTGGTTCCTGCAATTCCACTAAAACTTAAGTGTTTGATGGCGTCACTAATCACAGAATATGCTTAATCACATAAGGCCCCATTAGTGACGTCATCAAACACTTATGTGATAAAGCATACTTTTGTGATTAGTGACGTCATATAAAACTCAGTGGAATTGCAAGAACCACAGATGTCTGATTGAAAATTTGAATGGTGCAAACTGATGCTATCATTGTCCCTAATACACATACAAAATTTAGAAAACCTCTTTACAATCTCTCTAAGTACTACTTAGTGCAGTAGTAAAATAGTAAATTATCTTAAAGTGATCAACTGAGAAACAACACAGATAGCTTACCATATCTGATAAATATTTTGAAAGTTGTAATAGCTGTGGTATTACAGAATCTAAATGTTTACATAGCAACAGACTTCCCTCTTTATTTTCACATAAGCTTTGAATGGTTGTCAAGGTAACCTGTATTAAATTTCTATCTTCATACACAAGAGAGTGTATCAGTAAAGGTAGCAGCTGAAAAACACAAAATGTTCATATGTTGGAATTATCACAGCATATACAAAGCCCCAAGAAATGTACAAAAAAGTACAACCTATAGTTTATTTTAGGTCTGTTACAAACTAAATTAATAGTTGAGTTATTTAATGTTTGGAAGACTTTCTGCAAGTCAAAATGACCAATTTTCCATCTCTTGCCTGTTGGCAACAGTCTATTGGTACAATATATGATTTGGTGCAGTCGATAAAAATTTAACCAAAAGATTCTTACCAATGGTAGTTCTGGTAGTAAAACTTGTTTTTGTAACGGTTTCATCAAATTGCTTAACACAATCAGATAGTTCTTCTTTATTGCACCTGAAATTCAAGACAATATGGCATGGCTAGCTTTTTCTCATCTCACTTTACTTACTTAGCTTGTCCAAATTGTGCTAATCAAAACAGGCATCACTGTGCAGTGTGCAACAGGGAAATTTTTCAGTATTAGCCTGTTCTGGTATCTGCACAGTCTGAAGCACATGATGCCTTGCATTAATGTCTTGTTCCATCTAACAGGGTTGAAACCCTTGCCAAGATTGAACTCTTAACACCTAAGCCCAACTTTCTGAACCTCTCTGATTCCCAAATCTGTTCCAAGCTGGCACTTCAATTAGTAACAAGTAATACTTAGACTTACCACTTTCAGATTCTTGATAATCAGTAACCAGTCTATCTTTATTTTCTAAAAATAATCTTTGATGATAAAACATCTTGATATCGGCTCTCATTTCACTGTTTAAAATATCTTTATATTGTGTAACAATAATATAGAAATATTCTGCAACGATACTACCAACGATGTCCACACTCAATAACTCTAACAACTGAAATCATAAATCATACTAACTCATATTAAGTGACAACAGAAATCATACTAAATCATATTAACTGAAAACAGAAATCATACTGAATTATAATAACCAAACACAGCAATCATACTAATATCATTATAACCAAACACACAAATAATATTAATATTATTATAACCAAACACAGAAATCATACTAAATCATATTAACTGAAAACAGAAATCATACTGAATTATAATAACCAAACACAGCAATCATACTAATATCATTATAACCAAACACACAAATAATATTAATATTATTATAACCAAACACAGAAATCATACTAAATCATATTAACTGAAAACAGAAATCATACTGAATTATAATAACCAAACACAGCAATCATACTAATATCATTATAACCAAACACACAAATAATATTAATATTATTATAACCAAACACAGAAATCATACTAAATCATATTAACTGAAAACAGAAATCATACTGAATTATAATAACCAAACACAGAAATCATACTAATATTATTATAACCAAACACACAAATAATATTAATATTATTATAACCAAACACAGAAATCATACTAAATCATATTAACTGAAAACAGAAATCATACTGAATTATAATAACCAAACACAGAAATCATACTAATATTATTATAACTAAACAGAAATCCAACAACCGTAAAACTGAACTATTTTTGGACAAAAATCTTAAAATCGTAATAAAACAATTTGTTAAAACAAGTTACTCAAAAGCATAAAATTGAATTAAAATTTGAAAACAATATCATAAATTATTAAAAATTATTATAAAAGAAAAACTTTCATTAAAACATAAATGATATCAAAATTTGGCCCAAACAGATATAGATTTATCCAGTGCAATTTATTACTCAAAAAGAAGCTATATGTGTCTGTGATATTAAAAAAAATAGACCTGTCCTTTTAACTTCTTTTCAAACACTTAAATGATTGCCTTCCAACAAACCTTTTGAATGTATTCTTTAGCTTTGCAATGGTTTCTTAATACCAAGGCTTTAGTTATCCAAGTCAGTAAGATCACACTTCTTTCAACATTCTCACTAGATTGGTTTACTGTAAATAATCCATCCCATAATTTATCTATGTCCATTAGTATACCTTCAATATATGATTCTGAAATACACATATACACCCATCTTAATATGTATATATGTTTGTTTAATTATTGCATTAACAAGAATGAAAATTTAAAAGAAATTAAATAAAATATTTTGGGCTATTATTTCTTTTCAACCAACTTCCAAGAGTTGCCTTAGACATAACAGATAAAGAAGCACTTATGTGTGGAAATGTTTGTAATCACCTGTTAATTTATTGAGTAAACCAGCTATACATTTACTGCCATATTCACAAATTGTGAGATCATCAGTTGTTGTACAGATAGACATTACTGATGATACTATATCATCTATATTGACCATTGTTTCCTGAAACAGATATCATTAGTGATAAGATCATCAGTTGTATAGACATTACTGATGATACTATTTCATTCCACATTTCATTCTTGTTCAGACAGAAAATACTGATGATGATATTTCATTATCAAGATGATCACACAGACATTACTGATGATACTATGTTATCATATGATCTTGTAATTTCTGTTTTTGACATACTTACTGATAAAGGTACAGAACAGACGACAGCTGTCACTAAAGGAAGTGAACACAGTTGAGATTTATTACTTCTGTTCTGTAAAAAAAAAAATATCACTATTAAAACAATATTGTTCATTATAGGAGCCTATACATTGCCAATTGCTTTAGCAAGTTATTGTTGCTGTACCAGCTGATAAAGCTCAATTTAAGCTACCCATGACAGTTTATAAAATATTTCTATGAAATATCTGGTATATTGAGGAAAGATGACTTATTCACGGTCACCAGACTGCAAAACTCAGATAAGAGCAAATGATGTCATGTAGAAACATACCTGAAGTGGTTGAAAATCTTTCAAAGTAATTCCCTTTAATTTCCCATGTAAAAATAAATCAACTATCTGCTTATATAAACCTTCGCAAATGCTGAAAAAAAGATATGATGCAGGAGTTGCACATTTTACTGATCCTGACTTAATGTCCAAGGAGAGTTGAAACACATTTTCCTGTCTTACTCCCTCCGAACTGTTCTAGGTTTAATGAAGCAAAATGGAGTTGTCATAATTAATGAGACAGTAATATCTGATTTATTAAAACAGAAAACTGATTAGAAAATTAAAATGTAAGCTTACTGTTTTGAGCTTCAAATTGATTGTCAACGAGCTGCAGAAGCTATTTCAAAAAGACCTGAAGATAATTGATAGCAATTAGCATACCTGCTTGAACTGTTGGTGCAAGAGATTCTTAGTATGGTAGCTAGGTGCTCAATATCATTTGATGTTAGGCTCTGGTATTGGTCAACTATTAACTGTAATATATTTGGTACTATTGATGTATTAGTATAGTCCAATACATCACCATTAGTTTTATTATTTTCCACCATGGAACATAAACATGATGTCAGCACTTCACTTGAACAGATTTTATCTGAAAATTCAGTAAAATATATACTGTAACATTTACACAAAATTTGGATCAGATGTAATATTACTGACCTTTCTGTTGATTTAGTTGTAAAAATATAAAGTGTGTGATATCTGTGAGAAGTAATTTATGATGAGATATAGATGTAATATTACTGACCTTTCTGTTGATTTAGTTGTAAAAATATAAAGTGTGTGATATCTTTGAGAAGTAATTTATGATAAGATATAAATGTAATAATACTGACCTTTCTGTTGATTTAGTTGTAGAGATATAAAGTGTGTGATATCTTTGAGAAGTAATTTATGATGAGATATAGATGTAATAGTACTGACCTTTCTGTTGATTTAGTTGTAAAAATATAAAGTGTGTGATATCTGTGAGAAGTAATTTATGATAAGATATAAATGTTATAATAATGACCTTTCTGTTGATTTAGTTGTAGAAATATAAAGTGTTTGATATCTACTGACCTTTCTGTTGATTTAGTTGTAGAAATATAAAATGTGTGATATCTGTGAGAAGTAATTTATGATGAGATATAGATGTAATAATACTGACCTTTCTGTTGATTTAGTTGTAGAAATATAAAGTATGTGATATCTGTGAGAAGTAATTTATGATGAGATATAGATGTAATAATACTGACCTTTCTGTTGATTTAGTTGTAGAAATATAAAGTGTGTGATATCTGTGAGAAGTAATTTATGATGAGATATAGATGTAATAATACTGACCTTTCTGTTGATTTAGTTGTAGAAATATAAAGTGTGTTATATCAGTGAGAAGTAATTTATGATGAGATATAGATGTAATATTACTGACCTTTCTGTTGATTTAGTTGTAGAAATATAAAGTGTGTGATATCTGTGAGAAGTAATTTATGATAAGATATAAATGTAATAATACTGACCTTTCTGTTGATTTAGTTGTAGAAATATAAAATGTGTGATATCTGTGAGAAGTAATTTATGATGAGATATAGATGTAATAATACTGACCTTTCTGTTGATTTAGTTGTAGAAATATAAAGTATGTGATATCTGTGAGAAGTAATTTATGATGAGATATAGATGTAATATTACTGACCTTTCTGTTGATTTAGTTGTAGAAATATAAAGTATGTGATATCTGTGAGAAGTAATTTATGATGAGATATAAATGTAATAATACTGACCTTTCTGTTGATTTAGTTGTAGAAATATAAAGTGTGTGATATCTGTGAGAAGTAATTTATGATGAGATATAAATGTAATAATACTGACCTTTCTGTTGATTTACTTGTAGGAATATAAAGTGTGTGATATCTTTGAGAAGTAATTTATGATGAGATATAGATGTAATAATACTGACCTTTCTGTTGATTTACTTGTAGGAATATAAAGTGTGTGATATCTTTGAGAAGTAATTTATGATGAGATATAAATGTAATAATACTGACCTTTCTGTTGATTTAGTTGTAGAAATATAAAGTATGTGATATCTGTGAGAAGTAATTTATGATGAGATATAGATGTAATAATGCCCATTAAATCTTCTTTGCTTACACTGGAATCTCCATCTATTTCCATTTGATCTACAAAAAGACAACATCAAAAGATTCTTTAAGTGGCACAGTCTTGCTGAATAAGACAACTTGTAATTTTTTATGGAGGTTTTGATTGCATCCAAAATATAGAAGCCTGATGGTCTCGAATTAGTCAAATTTCCTTTTTTCTTCAGAGCTGACACTGTTAAAGGGTACAAGTTAACAATATTAGTTCATTGGACTCTCTAAAAAAAAGGATGTCAAGTTGACAGACTTAGTCACGAAATGGCATCAGGTGTTCTTGAAGAGTGAGCATAAACTGCCTTGCTAGTGCTTAAAATGACATTAAATATCAAAAAAAACAAAAGTTTCTGATCCTCTATCAGTGAAATGTAGCATACCTTGATTTAGCTTCTCTATCAACTTGGTTTGAATTTCACTTTTAACAATGACAGGAAATTGACTAGCTAATAGTTGAACTGTTATTACACATTCATTTCTGATATTAAAAAACAATAAACGTTAAAAACAAATTAACATATATCAATATAGACTTTCAGAAAATTTTGAAGGTTGGCAACTCCAGAAATTTGAATTACCACCTATTTTTCTTAAAATGGCACCACAGGGCCAAATCACGAATTGATGCTAAAGTCATAATCTACACAAAAATATATCTTAGTTTTTTGTCAAATTTTGTCAAATGGCCAACTTCCCAAAAATTGATCCACTTTATATGGCCCATGACCCATGAGCAATTGTCAATGGACTGACAGAGAGGTCATGTGTTTTCAAAATAATGAGCTATCAAATACTTGTCAAACTTTAAATTTTCTTTTAAAGTACATAAGTAAAAAAATCTTTTAAGCAAACCTACCGAATCTTTTTATCTGAATTTGATAAGAGAATAGTAGCAATATGTTTGCTGAACAACTCAGCTTCAGATTCTGACAAAACATTGTTACATTTCAAGATGGCTGCCACACCTCGGATACCATAGCAACTGATATCCTTGTCTCTCGCGAGGAGCAATTCTGTATATGTTGATATTAGGTCTGCTTTGTGTATTAGTATGATTTTTAATACTGAAATGTTTAAATATCATAACTTTTGATGAAAACAGTTGAGAAATTTTCAAAATACATTTGCATTTGAATATTATGAGATACATCTAAAAAGCTTCAACTTGTTATCAAAAAGGATTTTAAAGTGAATTTACCTTGTTCTGTATTGTGTCTAGCTGCACAGGATATAAACATATTCAAAATATCTATTAAACATCGTCTACAATTAATCTACAAAATAAACAGCTTAGATCATCATTCTAAAACTGTGTTAAATATATCTATAATAGTGTTTATTTTCTAATATTACGTCTACTTCAAAACATTTAACAAATAGTCGAAATATTTACTGTTCTCATAATGTTATAGTAAAAATCTTTACTGTTATCATAATGTTATAGTAAAAATATTTACTGTTAAAATAATGTTATAGTAAAAATGTTACTGTTACCATAATTTTATAGTAAAAATCTTTACTGTTATCATAATTTCATAGTAAAAATATTTACTGTTATCATAATGTTATAGTAAAAATATTTACTATTATCATAATTTTATAGTCAAAATATTTACTGTTATCATAATGTTATAGTAAATATATTTACTGTAATTATATTGTTATAGTAATCATATAAACTGTTATAATAATGACAGTAAAAATATATTTACTGTTATAATAATGTTATAGTAAAAATATTTACTGTTATAATAATGTTATATTAAAAATATTTACTGTTATAATAATGATATAGTAAAAATATTTACTGCTATAATAATGATAGTAAAAATATTTACTGCTATAATAATGATAGTAAAAATATTTACTGTTATAATAATGTTATAGTAAAAATATTTACTGTTATCATAATGTTATAGTAAAAATATTTACTGTTATAATAATGTTATAGTAAAAATATTTACTGTTCTTATAAGGTTATAGTCAAAATATTTACTGTTATAATAATGTTATATTAAAAATATTTACTGTTATAATAATGTTATATTAAAAATATTTATTGTTATAATAATGTTATAGTAAAAATATTTACTGTTATAATAATGATAGTAAAAATATTTACTGTTCTAATAAGGTTATAGTAAAAATATTTACTGTTATAATAATGTTATAGCAAAATATTTACTGTTATAATAATGATATAGTAAAAATATTTATGATATAATAATGATAGTAAAAATATTTACTGTTATAATAATGATAGTAAAAATATTTACTGTTATAATAATGATAGTAAAAATATTTACTGTTATAATAATGTTATAGCAGAAATATTTACTGTCATAATAATGTTATAGCAGAAATATTTACTGTTCTAATAATGTTATAGCAGAAATATTAATGATATAGCAGAAATATTTACTGTTTTAATAAGGTTATAATAATATAATATATATATAAATTTTACCTGTGTTTGATTATTATACTGTAATAATACTAATGGTACAGCAGTTTCTAAAACCATACAGCAAGCTATAGAGTTGGCATCACAGATACAGTGTAGCAAGGAACTGGCATTATATAATATTTTGACATCTGATTTTAATATGTAGATTCTGTATTCTGGGAAAAACAAAAAAAGTAAGACATAAAGATTTTCTAGATAGTTAATGTGTATCTGTACATTTATAAACGGAACCATAAACTGTCATTGTAATTCATTGATTGTTTTCTCTACATCAAAATAAACTCTAATTTAAATTGTGAAAAGTGGTACAGATAGCCAAAGTTCAGTTCTTTGAAAAGACTATCCTGATAGCTTAGATAATCCATTAACTTACCAGAGAAAATTTCCTCAATGAAAGATTTTAAAACTGATGATGAAGAGATGTCAGTAATATCCGTAGATAAAGTTGATATTAAACATGACAGACATTTTAATGATTCTCTCTTTACTTCTTCACTATCACCATCTACTACCTACAGCAGGCAATAAAATAATAATAGTTTGTAAGTGAATCGGGGTTCGATTTTTTAAGTAGGCTAGGAAAGTTAGATGCTCAAATTGAAGAACACGATGGACCAAAATTTGATACATGTGTCCCTTTCACTGAAAGTTTAAACTAAAATTATATTGCTGTTAATTTTAAGAATACTAAAACTATTAAAAACGAAATCCTTATAAAGTTGTTATGTTTTTAGTTGTGCAAAAATAAACACCAACATTTTTGAATATTTATTTCTAATTTTGCATATTGCCCTTCAAATTGCTTCATCATAATGTTCCTAAAACAGATGACTATGATTTACATGTCAAAGCGAAACAAAAGTTAATCTTTCAAATGCCATATGAGCAAAATACCACCAACCTACCTCTTTTCTGAGACAAGAATAAAATGACGATATATATTCCTTTAATGCTGCTGTACCATACACAGGGGCACATTCTGCCTATAAATAGATTTTTTTAATGATTAAAGATGGGTTCCCTTATTTTCATTTATAACAATGAAGATGCTAATACTATATGAATAGAAAGAAGTGTTGTTCTTATGACTTGGAAAATTACCTGTTTGTTTCACATGTCCATAATTAATTGATAATTAGAAGAGAATTTCCGATAAGTGACCGATCAAGAAAGGTCAAAAAGTCTTTTTTGTTTTGTTTTTCCATCAGTCAGTCTGTTCACATCAAATTGTAAACCTTGTAGAATCAACAGTTTCCAATCAATGGTGATGAAATTTGTTACTAGTCATAAAATGCTAAGATAATCAACTGTGATTTGAGCACTTTTTGATGATTAGAAACAGAGTTATTGTCCCTGACCCAAATATTGAAAATAAACCACAAAATTTGAAAAAGACGTAACTTCTTCAATGCATGTTTCAGATTATTTCAGATTTTAACTTCATTTGATGATGCTTGCAAGCAAACCTAAATTTTAGTTCTAAAAGGTGACACAGTTGAAGCAAGTATATCAAATAATATTTTATGTTAACTTACCAAAGTTTGTAAGGAATCAATCTGTGCTGAAGTTATATCTGAGGTTAATTTTTCTAATAATAATGGTAAACAATATTCACTAAATAATGGTGTAGCTGACAGACAGGACCTTAAAGACAATACTAAATCTTGCTTGGTTATACCATGAGGATTGTCTGGTGGCTAGAATAGAAATCCCCATGCAGTGTACAATTTGCGAATTTATTTAAAAAGAAATGAAATGATTTGGGACATCTTACTTTTCTGTTTGACTTAGGTTTTCCTTTCCCAAAAAAACAAAAACTCTTCGGTATCGATGTTAAAACTGCTAAAACTATTTCAGTACATCTAGTTGATTGTCTGTGTTGATCAGTCAGTAAGAGCATCAATATTTCATGACAATACTTGTCTGGTAATTTCCAAGTTTGACTAAGGACCAGCTGATAAATTAGCGAGTATTCGTTAATTTGTAAAAAAAACAATGGACTTGACCATCTGTCAAATCAAAAATCTAGACGACTGTATCCCTTCAATATATTTATTATTGTACCTACTGGTGAAAAACTGACTGGAAAATAACAAGACACTACTTCAAACATCTCTTCTACAAACACTCCTAAATATAACAACATACAGTGTGTCATGAGGGAAATTTTTTACAAGACTGAACTTTTTCAATGAATTAAACGTATGTCCCAAAAAGTCAAATTCCAATTCCAATATCAGTAGGGTACTGATGCAGCCATTGAACATCCATTTTATGACTGTACAATCACATACACCTTCACTCAATACCCTTTACTAAGCAATCACCTTCAGTGAGCAACGAATTTTCAGCAGTCTCTTGAGGGCTTGCTTTAAACAAGTTTGACTATAGTACCAGACAATTTTTTAACTTTTGAGCTTTGAAAGCAGCCTTCTGGTGATAAATACTGTATCTGAAACATATGTTGACTGTAACCAGCAACTAATAACTGTAACCAGAATTAAATTTTTAGACCTGCCTCTAATATTAGAAACAATGGTTTTCAACTCACCAAGAGAAAAGTTATCAATAATTTTCCGTGCAATCTGGAAGGCTAGAATTAAATTCCTAGGATCTTTCTCTGCATCCATAGTTTGTATGTATCCATGAACAAAATCACTCTTCATAGATTGTAATTCTAAATTTGGAAACCATAGCAACAGATCATTCAACATCATTCGAGAACAAATAATATGGAGTATTTAACCTTGTTATTTAAGCAAGAAACTATAAAATTAGGTTGAAAATTTTAAGAGACTTGCTAGCTATTAACTTGCTTGGCCATAATGAACTTCAGAGACTAGCATCAGCAGTGTTTTCAATAAAAACAGAACAACAGATTTTTAAGCTTACCACCAAGTCTTTTGGACAGCAACAGATATATTATCTTATACACATTATTTCTATCTGATTGACTCAAGGTCTGATTCTGCACTTCTTTGAAAATCTGCCTGCAAATTTCTTCAGCACAGCCTTCTGCCAAGTTATCATAATTAACCTATAAGATGTTTGGAATTTAACGATTACTCAGCTGTTAATGGGTATGAATAATCCAGAAGATCAATGCCAAGGTTTGGCCA